TTCCATTGCTAGATCAACACCGTCGCAATGGCAGGCGTCAGACTCCAATACCGTCGCCGAAACCCGTATGTTTGCCCATGCCCCAAGTTGGACACCGGTCGAGGATGGCTAACGAGAACCCGCACTACACAGTTACAACACCAGCTCCAACAATGTCCGGGTGATCAAGACTCCCGGCGGCAAACTCAGACTCCTACATATCAAGAAGCGAGGCACAGCCCCCAAATGCGGCGATTGCGGTGTGAAACTCCCAGGTGTAAGTCGCATTCTATGGAAAAGAACAATTTCCCGACACAGATGCTGTGCCCGGCTGGCTGGACTATTCCTGACGATGATGCCACAGATTCCCGCCCTCCGACCGAGAGCATACGCCACGACCAGCAGGCCCCAGAAGACCGTGCAACGCGCATACGGTGGTTCAAGATGCGGCAACTGCGTGCGGGACCGGATCGTCCGTGCTTTCTTGATTGAGGAGCAGAAGATTGTGAAGAAGGTGCTCAAGGAGACTGAGGATAAGAAGAGAGGAAAGAAATGATCGGTCGATCGACAGCAAAGGTTCTGGTTGTTTGTGATTCAACGAGGTTTGCAATCGAGGACTGTATCCCGACCAATGGTCAGGCATGGCAAGGGCAGGCATTGGGCATTGCTTTCCAACTCCTGAGAGGGACGGCTGGAGAATCAACCTCAATGCGCTGGCCTATGGAACTCTCCTAGATGCCCAAAACTCCTCACGGCGAAAAAAGGTACGATGTGTCGAAGGTGATGCCAGGGCGATCTGGCTGGTTCATCCAACAAAGTTATCACGAATGAAACAGAAATCGACCGTCTCGGCCGAGCAGATTTCAGCAGATTTCAAGGTACTATCTGTCAGTGTTATTTCAGGTATCGTGATATTGGTGTTCTCCCGCGACCCAGTCGCGGTTGCGTTCATCCTAACCTGGTCAATCGAGTATGTGCTCGTCGTGACACAGATGAACCGATGTGCAAGCTTCGCCGTCCATCCTCGTGTGTCGCCCCGTGTAGTGATCTTAGTCTTACCATGATTGTTCCTCTGGCATCGTCATCCACTTCATTTACCTTGTGTCTTGAGCGTCGGTCCTGCTACCCTTTACCTCTTACCGGGCGACCTGGTTCTGCCCCTGACTTGCGGCGGCGGATGGTCCAGGCAGTCACTCGGGTGTTCGGCTCTCAAGGGGACTGGAGTACAGACTCGGCACCCGAGAAGCAGCTGAATTATCATTGACACGTGTTTGACAGGTCGTCCTATCCTGGCGATGCCGGGGGGGCGATGGCTCTCCTCGGTCATCGTGTACTGCCATGACGATGGACGGGCCACAGAAGATGGATCGTGGCACAACATCACCCTTGGAGCTGTCATAGTCGCCACAGACGTCGAGCGCTGGGCGAGCGCGACCGACCAAAAAGCGCATTGTCCTCGCCTGCAGCGGTGTTTCTGTTGGCTAAGGCTCGTAGTTGCACCATGGAACGGCTCACGACGCTTTACCAGGGCGGGATTGAGGCAAAACTTCCTTGGCCTCCACTCACCTTTTCCTTGAGATCGCTTTCCACACAGGCTACAAACACCTGAGTGCTCTTTCTCACGGCCAGCCCGTTGGGAAGTCAGCCTTCGGACCATAGGGACGGGGTATTTGAGAGGTGTCTCCGGCAACAATCGTGGCAGCAGGTGATGCCGGAACGCGAGCCTTCTGCCCTTGACTGGGGTTGTGGTACAGTGCCGCTGTCAAATCTGTCATATCTGCGGGTCGCCAGGCTGGTGAGTCCTCGAAGAACCCATCGGGGGTTTAGTACTGGCCGGGAACCAACCTTGTGCCACCAAGCTGTCAGAACACCTGCCTAGCATGTGAGTTACTCCGTGATGGGCACCGTGAAATTCTGAACCAGGTGCCGTTGGCTGTTCGGCAGCCAGCCTCCGATGCCAGGCACGGCCTGAAGTGTACACAGACAGTGGACGTGCCGCCGCGGGACAGCCGTTCAGTGCTCAGCTCTTGCGACCGCAGAGATCGTACTGGTACTGGAAGGCTAGAGGTTGTTGTGGGGGCGACCCATCTGGTGATACCACTGTATCTGCACGATAGGAGATTATTCGCTCATGATGCTTGCTCTAGTCACCGAAAGGGAAACTTCGAAACCCATACTGCTGTTTTAGATGCTCTAGCAATGTCGACAGGAAGTAGACGCCCAGTAGAGCGGATGTCAGTAGAGCGGATGTTATCCGGTTGATTTGGCAGTAAAGCCGACCCTACCCTCTGTAAGCTCTTCGTTATTTCAAGCTCGACCGTCTAAGGGACGAGCACCCAAATCATGCTCCGTTCGAGGGAACGGGCGAAATGGAGACGTCCGACGCACCTGTCGTTCACCACTTCAGGGAAGTGCCAGGATCATTTATGCTTCATGAGCAAAGTGAGTAGCAGGAGGTCAGGCAGTATGGTTAATCGTCGCGTCCCTCTCAGGCGCGAACTTTCTAGAGTGGTAAGGGAGCGCTGTCTTTGGCTTCAACCGCCGTCTCCAGCGAATAGTGTGGGGACTATGGACTGGGATGTCAATGGCCAGACAATGCTCATGTTGAAACTTGCCTCGACGACTGACAAGCCAAGAAATTGGCGTGGGAGTGTCCTGATGAGCATCGCCTGTGCGAGGTTGTCTGATGCCAGTGATACGACGCAAGGTGAATCCGAGCAGTAACAAGCTGCTGATTCTGCCACAGATCTTCGATTTGTTCAGCGGCAGGTTGTGCGTCAGACGTTACGCGGCATATGTCAAGCACGTTGTGGTTGACCGACTTGTATACGGATGTTCGGGAATGTGCATGACGGGTTGACGGCAAAGCGGCCGTCTCGCTGTCGGCAGAATGGTCAGATTCGATTTTAAATGACACCAAGGAAGTTGTCGTTATGGTCGACCGAGATGGTGGAGCATAGAAGAGTCGAGGATCGAGGCCAAGTTATCTCGTCCCGGGAGTTAAGAAATCCGATCGAGTATCATCCTCGCCAATCGAGATTGAAATGATAGTCCACCCTCTTCAGCATCGTAAGCATATGCTTGTAAGTCAGATCCGACAGCTCGGCAGCTTTAACCGTCGAAAGCGGCCGGGCTTGGGAGGATCCAGGGCGCATAGGAACGTCGTGTTCGTGCCCTTGCAAGGGGCTGATCTAGGGCTTTCCATTTTATTCTGAGCAACGCCTCATTTGGGAAATGAAGAAATTCGGGTCCTAGGGATGCCCGTGCAATGCTGCAGAGATGAGATGGACCGAGACCAGGTCTCACTTCGATATGAGGGTGGCTGGTCAGCTAATTGGTCGTACCTCTGCAAGTCAATCTCAGCTAACATGTCTGCAGCATCGAGCGCTCAGCCGCCTCCGTCAACTGCACAGACTGAGGGGTGTCAAGGGAGCTGGTCCATGTCAGATGCATGTCGGAAGAATCAGCGGAAGATTCTGGGTTACAGACCGAAAACAACAGGGTTGTCGAGAGTGCGTCATTTTCTCGACTCGATCTGTCACCATCCCGTTCTCTCGCTGAAACATGGCAGAAGCTCAGATCCGAGATTCACCTTGTTGAACGCAACGCGGGACGATTCTGAAGCGTGGCAAGCTCAAGACCAACGAAGTGACTGAGTGATGCGCCACTGGTGGAGTCGAGCTCTTTGCGACTGTTTGAGATGATCGGACCCATCATCAGACGGCGATACGAAAGCGCAATACACCCGAATTCGGTCTGAGCTCTGCTTCTACGTTCGCGTCAGGTCCTGCGTGTTCAGAGGATACCTCTGACATCGAGCTTGGAAATCGGAACGGTCGAGGGGTGTGGTCTTGCAGATTCTGTGCGTGCTGAGCACGAGGTTGGGGCTGTTGGATTGCTGGATAGGAATCCCTCAGGGCCCCCCTACACGTCCTTTGCGTTGAGCGATGCTTGTCTGTTGTTGTTCTAGATCGGTCCGTACCGTGACGCCACCAACGGTGCATCGTCAGCATGTTTAGAACCTTCGATCAACGGGGAAGCGGGAGAAGTTGTCCGCGCGACGAGGGGGTGCAGTAGTGTGAAGAAATCGTCGACGGTCGGGCCTGATCCTGTATCTGCTCGACATTCCTGACACGTCTTGTGCGCCAACCCCGGGTTGTTGACAACATAATTTCCAAGCTGCAGTTGGGTTGTCAACCTTGGTGGAGGCTCCCATCACCGTTGGTAGAAGCCATCCCGGGAACACGCTGCTGTAGCCCAGTGCCATAGTGAAGAAGCTGGAACCGAGATGATCGGCTTTCAGGTAGAGGCGAGCCTGCCAACGCACAACCCGGCCGTACTAGGGAGGGACGCTTCCAAGCGAGGAAATCAACGGTAGCGAGATCAATTACGAACTGTCAAACGAGCCAAGGGCAAAGAGGGGCTTTTTTGCAAGGAGCGTGCTGAGCAGCGCCTGCTGGCTTTCCGATGAACGAGTCAATCAAATCGTTATCTTCAAGATCGAGACAGGCCGTGGGAGGTTCGGAGGGAAGCAAGAGGACACAGCGAGGCAAAGCGTCTAGACCAGCTCGTTCGGCCAAGGCAAACAACCCAGGCGAGGCCGCACCTGGCAGGTCGTTGATGGCCTGCCCACAAGTATCACCGCGAGCACCAGCATGAGGCGTTAGACTCTGACATCTTGCAGCTGCAAGCTGGATCGGAATAGCGGTTCTCTTGCTACAGGGGTATCGTACATCCATATACTAACGTCACTCCAAGTCGCATTGTAGTCAAACAGAATGCACGTTCACCCAGGGTCATTTGCTATGAGAACCCCTCTTTTGATATCATGACACCAAAATGCCCGCCTAGAGAAGCCACTGTCCCGTCCACTGCTCGTCTCTGCCCACTTCCTTGGGCTGCCCAGGCACCCTATTCGTGCATGCTTTCACCACCGACGCTCGGGAGACGGGTCATAATAACGTGGTATCCAATGTGATGATTTCCAACCCCGGATCTCAAGTGGCGAGGTCCGGCCTCACTCAGCATGAAAATCTGACCAAGTCCCCGACATGTTGGGCTCGCATCGATTGCAACAGTGCATTTTGAACATGCATGTTTTCCTCCCCATAAGCGAGGTTCTGCGACTTCAGGTCCAGCTTGCTCAGCGGAGATAACGAGTTGAACAAGTTGTTCTCGTCGGCTGCAAGATTGTCTTCCACTGGCGTCATTGGCCAGCTTCTCACGGCCGGTTGTAACTCGTGGTAGTCGAAGCTTGGGTAGTCGCCGTAGTCCGAGTACGATGTGGTCGATGGACTGGCCGTGGACGCCGGGTCAGTCAACGCAGAGAGGTCCTGATGTCTCCTTTTGGCTGAATTTCGTGCTGCCCGTCCACCTCGTGCCCCGGCTCTCTGGCGTTGGATGGCGGGCATTCGGCCTCCCAACGGTCTCTTCCCTGCTCCAGTCTTGCGGTATCTCGTGGTGGACTGAACGCCATTGTCGATCGCATCTTTGGTCAAGATCCACACGCTGGTGGCCTTTCGAGAGCTACCGCGTGCACTGTCTCTGTCATTTTCGAATGCCTATGCCAGTGTCAGTGGGCTACACAGGGCATTGTGGAGATTGACCAACCTTGTTCATCGAAAGATTGTGCCGAATGCTGTTCTGCCAGCCGTTTGATCCGGATTCCTGGGGTTTTGTAGTATTATGGCGAAACCATTCGTAAATCTCCCTGAGCATCATCCTATGTCCTGGTGCCTGCATCAAAGCTTCATAGATGAGTCGAGCATAAGGCTTGTCATCGGAGGCATCCTCTTCATGTTCCACGCTCGCTGATGGTGCGCAATTGACATATTCTGGTGACGAGGACCAAGGGCATTGGATGTTGCCCTCGACGAAATACTGGCCTGCTGGCTGAGGCAGCGAGGCGGGATAAGTTGAGTATGGGAACAAAGGAAGACCACTCGTATCTGGAGTGTGTTCAACGCCGTCATTAATGAGCTGTGGGTATGCGCAGACGGAAGGCGCCCAGTTTGATCCCAAATCGAAATCCGACAGTTGAAGCTGTGTATTGCAGGGCATGATGTGAGATTGGCTGTGGTGCAGAAGCTCGAATGATACATCTCCTTGAGTCTCAAGCTTGAGCAGGGGATGGATGTCTGGTTGATGTTGTTGTGCGTGATACGCCTGCAGCTGAGAGACGGATGGAGGCAATGTGTGCAAGGTTTGATGGCTAAACGATGCTCTGGTCATGATATTCGACAGTTCAAGGTCCACAGGGTTGTCGTAAGAGGCATAGTGATGGCTTGGAAGTTCAGCATCTATTCCTGCCATGTCGCTCATTAGGACGCTGATGATGTTGGCGGAGGTGAATATGCCAGGCGCTTCCGTTGTAAAGGGAGCAAATACGCTCAACGCCCACACTGTCACAACCAAGATGAAACAATGACAATATGATGTCTGGCTTGCGAACTATGAGTGACTGGGGAAAGAACCTGTGCTTAAGGACTGGAAGCAAAACAAAGAGGCAGAGGCAAAATGGTATTATGCTAGAGCAAGCAATTGGCTCTGGAGTGCGTCTGTACCATGTGGGATCACGCAAACAGGCAGGGGTAGAAAGGGATGGGAGAAGCGGGAGCCGGGAGATGCAAACAAGGGCGTTCCTGAACCGACCTCATATGGCTTCTGCGCCATGGGAGAAGACGCCTGGAAGCATTTTTTGCATGCTAGTACAGTACAATACTGTATCACTTCTTTCCAGAGAAATCCGGGCTTCCTGAAGAATCTCCTGTCCAATCAAAAGATGAGCGACATGCGGAGCTTTGTACAACGCCCATTAGCTCAACGGCTTGTCATGTCGGGAAAGTGCATACTAGTTTGGTCTCAAATGCCAACCTGCAGTGGTCCACGCCCATCCTGCAGCAGGAAAATTTGGTTTGTGTTTTCGTCTTTGCTTGTGGGATGATACGAGGCGTGACGATTAGATAAGTCATGCTGGGTTGTCAATGACTTGAGGGAAGAGGTCAGCTGACGAGGTGCGAGGTGAGAGGATCCCGCATCAATCTTCAGGGACAAGGCTGCTGGATATGTCGGTGGTCGCGTCCTGGAGGAAACGGAGGCAGTGTAGAGATACTCAGCCGGGTTGTTTTTGTAAGTCACTAGGGTCAGTGCATCGCGTCGCGACGGACACCATCCCGCCCCATATCGAAAATTCTCAATTCCTGCTGGCGTTGATCCGGATGCAGCAGGCCGCAGACACTGCCGTGAGGAAAAGTAAGTGCAAGAGATCTGTTGCAGAAAACTGCTCTTGCATGCCACTGGTGCTGCTTGAGAATGTCTTCAATCTTCCCTCACTTGGGTGGCCGACAGACGACTGAGCGTCAACTTTGCCAGCATGGACAGGCTGCAGGTTAGAAGGAATTAGGTATTGCTAGTTTCCATGAGCTTGAGGAGACATAGAAACACGATCGATGAAAGGATTTTGATGTGTTTGACGCAGTGATGTGACATGATATTGCGAGGTGAGAAGAAGATGAGATGGCAAGGAGAAATATTCAACCAAAACACCACTTCTCGACATGGCTCATTGATACCCAGTACGTTGGTGAGAAGACGGCATTCTCGTCGGCCGTGCCCATCAGTGATATCGCTGATGTCGCCCACTCAAGCAGCAAATAGAACATCACCCACGACTAACTGAAGCAGGTTTCTGAGAAGACGCCAAGGTGTTAGTTTCAGCTGTGGTCCCGTGACCCTCCACGGCCAGAGCGGCGTAAACGGCTTAGCCTTAGGTGTGGCTTTGTGATGGGCGCGTCGGATGATTGATTTGGTAAGTGCGACAAGCTTTTGGCGCGGGCATTGTGAGGCGCCGCGCCCGGAGACTTCACTTCCGGGCCAGCCAGTATTCACGCAGTATTCCTGTGATCGCCCAATCGACATCATAGGCACTTGAGGGCGACGTCAATGCATGCGAGCTTACTTTGCTGAGTGAGCCGTCATGCCCGGAGCAGCCTTTTCAGGGCAACGCCAATAAACACTCAAGACACTCTCACTTTCTCAAGCTCTTGACTGTCGATTTCCCGCCTGACGACGCCGCAAGACTAATCCTACAGCGGCAGTGCCCTCTATCATCCTTTACCACTCTCTAGCGTCGGGTGACAGAAGCGGTCAACCCTTTCCGCGGCCTTCCTGAGGCCGGAGGGTCTGAATACTCTCGATCATACAACTTCCCCCCCACAGCCCCGGCTGATACCCTGACCACTGTATCCTCCTCGTTCTTCTCGCGCAAGCTCCCAAAACCGAGGAAGTACCACGTGTCTCCATGCCCGAAGTTGTGAGAGGCAGTCGTGCCAGTCTCCAAGTGGACCGGCCGCCACTTGGCTCCCCGGATGGACTGGCTCCCTCATCGCCGGTGCGAGAGGCTCGAAATGTCCACTTCGGGCCAGAGAGCCCTGGGCTCAATCGGGAAGAGACGCCCACGCCAGGTCTAAGGGCAGTTGACACGGGACTGAGTACCATGTCTGGCACCGAACGCCGCAAGAGCAGAGAACAGGCAAGAAAAGAGCGGAAGACTGAGCCGGAAAGAGACGCATATTATGACAGTCGTGCCGCCACGAAACGCGAGTTCCGGCGGAGAGCGAGCACACTGCAAGAATACTATGCACAAAATCCGACGCTACTACCGCAATTACCCTTCACTTGGAGACACGGCTGGAAGAGATGGAAGTTGTTCTTCACGATATTCCTGATCATTGTCGACGCGTGTGTCATCCCGATCGTTTTATTCTATACCATGAAATTCATAGGCCACATCGAAGGATGGATCAGTAAGACCTACCCCGTCGCTTGTCGCACGCTCCTGCTGACGATCATTGTGCCCAGTCTTCGCAGTTGTCGCTACCATCTGGGGTGGTCCGACCTACGTGGAATTCGCAGTACGGAGCTTGCGGCTGTGGAAGAAAGAGAACTTCTTCCGACCTCTTGGTTCCAACAACAAGTGGGCTTTCGACATTACGCACTGGATCTCGGTGTTGACGATCACGGCGGTCACGGCACTATTGATTGTTGGCAGCGCGCCACACATTGTGTGGCTCCGTGTGCTCTCCATGCCTGCCCCTGCGATATTGTACTGCATCGGCGGCAGCGTCTTCGCTCTTACCATGTGGAGTCTTTCCGGTAAAAGAGCGCCCTTCCGGATCAGTTCGACCGAGAAAGGCGGCGAGGTGTATCCCGGAGTGTACTATCTCATCGAGGATGTCGTTGCCGTCAATGCCAACGCCGGCAGGCCTTTCCGCGAAGCTCTGGCGGCTCGATACAAGGCGAGCCCACGCTTCCGGAGGATGATCAAGGTCCAGTCTCTGTTTTGGTCTATCCCGTCCTTGATTGTCGCCATTGCGTGTACTGTGGTTGTGTGCATTCACCCTGTTTCAAAAGACGTGGCATATGGTATCGGTAGGTACCGCCCCAGGGCATATGAAGTCAAAATCGAATAGCTAATTCGGAACCTACAGGTTGGGGCGTCCCTTTCGTTTTCATCGGGATTTGGGTCGTCATTACCATTCCCTGGGTCCGGCATGATATGCACAAGGAAACAGTGACTTGGGAGGAAGATTGTGGCATCGCACCCGGCACACGCCAGAAAGAGAAGCAACTTCAACTCGAGCCGACGGATTCCGAACGCGAAACGCCAAAGGAGCCAGTGCCGCAGCCCGAACCATGATGAGCGCTCGAGCCTCGTTCAGCTTTTGTACAACCATTCTATCCTGTCGCTACATACTACGTGATATTGTGCGCTTGGTTGGATTGCCAGCGCCAACTTTCTACCATCTGCCGCCCGCGTTCAAGCTGGTCCTCACTACGTCGATTCGTCTATATACTCAAGCGTGAAGCATTGGATATCCCATCAGCATATCTGGCATGAAAGAACACGGCGTCAAGGGCAGATATATAACAGAGTCATAACCAGGGAATCTTAATGACAAAATCCGATTATTCTTTTCGATCGTCGCCGAGCGTAGACTCGCTGTCCCGTCCCTCTTTCGTTCGACAAATGTACCACTCTACTCGTATCTGATGGAGTTTCCCTGAGGAAGCCGCCGCCGAGTGATTCCTCGGCTCCCCTATGTCAAGCTCGCGCTCAACGCCCAAGCAAGGGGGCTTCGTCATCTCGACAAGAGACTCCCCTGCGGCCCTTTTAGGTTCTCCTTGTACCTACATCTACATACCTAGGATCTGCTCAATCTCTACAAGATGAGCAAGAGCAGCGAGTACCTTCGGGCCTTGCTTTACAAACACTGCGCCCGCAGGATTCCGGTCGATTTTGTCGCCTCGCGTGTGCTGCATGGGGTCCAGTCATACCGGCTCACTCTTTGTCCATAACTGGTCGACTGCACAGTACAGTACAGGGATGACTAAGGTAATCTTGGGTCAACTTGTTAAACGTATGAGTTGCCTGTTATGTAGGTTCGGGGGACGACAAAATCTCAGCATACGCAGGCCGAGTAGACTACCTAGTTAAGTACCTAGGTAACAGGACACAGGGTACACTCAACATGTGGATGCGAGGAAAGCGTATCGTGGTCATCAAGGTCAATCACATGTGCATACCTGGTGAGACGGTGGTCGGAAGGTTTTGCGATTTAGTAATGCTGGCAGGCCGTGCTGACGCTGACACTGACACTGACACTCGAGGCCCTTTAGCCTCTCAGCCTCAGCTCGGCCTACTCAAACTGCGCACCTCATTTGACCACACCCCGTCCTGATGCTCATGTCGTGATCACATATGTCTCGACCTCGACCGGGCCGCACGCCCTGCACTCGAGGGATTCCAACTACTTGCGGTACACAATCCTCTTGAAACTAAAGTGCAGGGTCAACACGCCCTTTTCAAACGTGCTCTTGAACCCTCTCTCATGCTTGGCACTATAATCCCAGTCGCGATCCACAATCCGAAAGGCAATATCCTCATACGGCGGACCGGACATGAACCGGATGATGCAGGTGTCTTCCTCGCCTGCCGGGGCCATCGTTTGTCCCTTTTTCCTGCCGCCCTCGCGGATGATCTTGTACGTCGGCGCCTTGGTCGGATCGATCAGGTCCGGATAGAAGATATGGAATTTGTAGCCTTGCACGACTTTCGGGGGCGGGTTATCGTGGTCATAATGCGTTTGGTTGTATTTGTTCCACTCGTAGCCCATCTGGACGCGGTTGAAGTACCGAGGTTTTCGAGGCCGGTATTTCCCGCCGTACTGCGAAAGCCAGGCCGGTTGCTGCGAAGAGGTGGCCGACTCGTCCTCATTGGCGAAGATTTCTTCGTCATCGTTGACGCCGCGGGCGACCTCGCGGTCGAAGAGCGCTTTCGTGCTGGAGGAATCGTCGTGGGAGGATGTGTCGAAGCGGGCCGTTGGGTCGGTAGGCTTGATTTGTTGTGATGCTGGACGTGGCTGGGCTGAGAAAGAGGGTGTCGACGCGGCGGCGTTCATCTTTGGCGCCGGCACGTAGCCCATGTGTAGCACTTTTCGTCTACTAGCAGCGACGCTTTGCAGGAATGTGCTTTCGTCCTGGACTTCAAGGGACTTGTCCTTTGCCGCGATCTCCAACAATGGCTCTGGGTCCAAGACCTTCGAGTACTGCACGGTCTGTGTAGTCTCGACTCCGGCACTGCGGAAGTGTTGCTGTGCAAGAGTTGCTCTTCGCTCGTTCTCCTGCCTTAGGCTCTTCAAGCGAGAACCGAGAACGTCTTGATACACCCTCTTCAACTTTGCTTTGGCCTTCCAAACCAGCAAGCTGTCTAACAACTGCTGCCAATAGTCGGTGTCGATCGGCTCGTCTGAATCGAGCTTGGCCCTGATCTGGCCCTCCAACGTCTCTAACTGCTCGTACGTCTTGGGTCCCAGCAGTTTGTCAATATCCGCGGCCACAGAGCTGACTGCTCTACCCTCGGGACCTGACGCACGCAGCTTCTTCTGCCGATCTTTGCATATGATTTGCATGGTCTTCCAATAGTCTCTGTTCTTTCTGTTCTTCTCCAGATTCATATACGTTTCGATATCCTTGCGCAGTTCGGTGAGCTGACTCTCGGACAGGTCGTCGAACACACTGTCAGGGTCCACGAAGTCCAGATCTTTCTCGTCCACTTCATCATCCAGCGGGTTCCTCGTAGGGTCGACAACGCGGAGAGTGACGGCCAGCCAGTCGATGGGTTTTGCGCGGCCTTCCTTGACTCGAATGTCTGCCTTCTTCTTGGTCTGCTTGAGAACAAAGTCATCCTCCTGCGCCACCCACTCCCTCATCCGCTCGTCTTCCTGCATCTGGTTGATCCTCATCTGGTCTTTGTGAGACCATCGTTGAGGCTGACCGTTCTCGCGTCTGTTCGGCGCATTGCGGTCTCGATACTGACGGTCGCCATCGTGCTTTCGCCGCGGAGGGGACTGCGACCGCCGCCGCTTGTTGGGGTAGTCGGCATCGCTCATTTCGATATGGATGGAGCGAGGATGGACGATGCAGCGCCCAGTATCAATTGTAGTAAACTTTGCGTAGGCATGATATTCTCACTATGCCGCAAGAAAGATGCCAGGCAGAAAGTGGCACCGGGGAAACTTCGGCGCCAGGACTTAGAAACACGAGAAGCTTCGTCTCAGTTGAATGTGAAGCTCGTTCTCACTACAGGCCAGCGCAGACCACTATGACCAGGGTCCATTTGCCGCCTTGGCCAGCGGATCAGGGGATGTGCCTTTCTCCTAGCAGGCTCGAACTGTGCAGAAGATGGAGCGGGTCCAGAAGACCCGAAACAAGGGCCCGGCTTGTACTCAATGCCGCCAGCTGAAGGTAGGCCAATGCGGAAGAGTCGATTTCAGCGCAACTGCTTCCGGCTATATCTTGTGTATCGGTTTTCCTGACTTCGTGTAGTTGAAATGTGACTCGGCTCAGACCTTTCCGGCGCCGTGCACAAGATGCACCAGAACTGGCTCCAAGTGTCTGATCGACTCTCACTTCCGACGAGAGAAGCGCCAGGAGTAAGGTGGATGGATGCCAATGTCCGGCTCAGTTCTGACTTTCTTTGACTAGACGGATCGAGAGGCTGGAAGAGCAACTGCTCGAGGCAAAGCAGAAACTCGAAGGCACACCACGAGAAGCATCTGCTCCTGCGGCTGGGTCGCCCGAAGCTCGACACCGCCCCTCGATTGTCGAGGAAGACTTCAGCACGTTCGATTTCGCCCAGTTCTTCGAAGACCTGCAACCGACGACTCTCGACGACATCACGATACAGCCCCAGACAATCGTCGAGCTATTTGAGCGGTAGGAAATCAGTGCCCTCTCTGTTATGTGTTCCTGCCTAATCCCGTTTTGAAGCTACTACCTTTACCACCACCTGCGGTTCCCCATCTTGTCCTCGCCGTCGATTACCTTCCGGTCGTCGAGGAAATGGCCACCCTTGTTCTGGAGCATAATTCTCGTATCGGCCAAATGCCGGCAGCATGTTGCTCTGTACTCCAAGCTCAGCCAGCCGCTCAAAAGGCTCGTCCTCAGTCCGGAGTACCTCTCAAGTCAGTCGCTTGAGATGATCCAGGCGCTACTCCTGCTCTGTACCTGGGCAGGGGGCGACGACAGGAGCTGGACCGACCTGTCGTGGACATACAGCGGCATCGCCACTCACGCAGCTCTACAGATGGGCTTACATCGACCCGAATATGCAAACGACTTCATCTATGGCTCGAAATTCGACGATGAGATCATATTGTCTCGGAGGAAAGCATGGATTGCTTGCTTCATCGAGAACGAGATGTATGTGCCCCCCTCCCTCTCTCGAGGGGTTGTTAGGTCTGTCTGCTGACATTTGGAAATAGGGCAAGCCGCAGAATTGGCGTTCCATGCACCGCCCCCATCGACCATACCATCCTCGAAGCCCTTTCATCCCCAGCATCCACCATCCCAGTCAAGCTCAAACAACAGCTCCAAATCGCCTATCTGTCCTACAGGACGAATACTACCCTAGGCAACTCCGATCTCAGCCCGGCAGGTGTCCTCCAGAGCTCCATATCAGCCATCCACATGTTCGAGAAGGAATTCTCCCTGATGGAATCCACGTCCGGCCTACTGTGGTCGCCTCACGAGGAAGTACTGTTTCTTGGGTCGAAGCTGAATCTGTACATCTACGCAATAACTTCCTCGAACATTAGCAGCACTCAGAATGGCCGGCACTCAAATGTGGACGAGTTCATCGGACCCGCACTCGCAACAGGCCTGAAGCTCATCGACGTCGCCAACAATGCCGAGGGTGAAATCAGCTCGTGGAGCGTCCACACCAAGGAGTCTCTCATTGCGGCGACGTTCTTCCTGTTGATGCTGCGAGACAGCGAACACCCTCTGGTCGACCTTGCCGCCACGAGAAAGGCAATCGGCCAAGCCTGGAACACACTTCATGCTTGCATCATCACCGAGCACGACTACCTCAGCCGGACGTGCACCACCATCTCATACCTCAGCCAGCATCCGCTGAAGAGGGAGGGCAACGGTTTTGCATTAAAGACGAAGTCCAGAATGGCGTCGAGTATCATGTGGGACACGATCAGACGTCTCAAGGAGCACTTTGGCCTGGAAAAGCCGGCCCAGTCTCTGAGCGAACGACTTGCCGCTGCGAGTGGCCAGACTCAGACAACGCCCAACGGGACGGAAATGCAAATCTTCCCGGACAACCTATCGTTCGATTACGGAGGCGACCTTATCGACTGGGATTCCCTGTTCACTGAACTCGGAGACTTTTACGTGCCGCCACAGTTTGACGAGCCATGAAGCCGGGCGAGCTGGCAGGGCGATCATCCTGAGACCAGCGTTGCTCAGCGTGCGGGAACTGGATGTATATCCTCTGTCTGTTCATCTGACTATTTACATATGCGAAACCTCACTACGGACAGATCCGAAGGTATATTTGCAGCAGCCATACATTACCCAGACAGTATCTTTGGCGCATCATGTCGTAAAAATACCCTCAAATCCAGGTTGAAGCATAAATTTGCGATTTCGACTTTGCGTTTCTGCCTAACCGCCCTCGAGCCCTGCGAATGTGCTTCGGCGCAGGCCGTGCGCCCTGACGATCCCCTTCGTCGGCGATCAACCTCGACAACGCCGGATCTCGCGTGACTCGCACGATTTCGGAAAAGAATCCGTGCAGCACGCATCATTGCGAAGCAGCGCATGGACGCCGAGCAACACACACGTCAAAGCGAACAGCGCGCTGATATCATATGTTATCAGCAGCGTGCGCGGCTCATAGACAAATAGCCGGGTGACTTGCCAGAGCGGTCATGCCGTCTTGTCTGATAAGCCCGCTCCGATGTCAACCAGGCAAAAATGTGCCAAGTCAGAATTGGGGACGATAACATACCCAGAGATAACACTATACCGCATACTTAACCTGGTGTTCTGGAATAAAGTCTCGTTGCGCCTCGCTTGCCTCGTTGTTGTCTCAGGCCGGGTCAGTCCTGGCTTCGAGGGAAACAGCGCCTGATTCATCCCCAGAGAGTAGACCGAGTTGGTCGTGGGGAAGTTGACCTTATTCGAATACTTGATCGGACCGATGACCATCATGGCAAAGGCCTCCGTGCCGGGTTGCATGTTCATCCATCGACTGACTAGTGGGTCCGCGGGTGCGCCTCCCATCGTGGAAACTGCCGGCATAGAGTTCTTGAACGCAGGAGCAGCGGTGATGAATTGGGCGCCAGTGCTCTTGACCTCGAAATGTGTAGCATAAGATGGGTTATACAACTTGCAGGTCATCATCTGCGCGTCAGCCTCACCAGCAGAACTAGGAATACGATTGAACCGGTAGGACGCCGTAAGGTCGCCTCCGTAATCGAACGATAGGTTGTCCGGAAAGATTAGCATTGAGCTGCAAAAGAGCGTTGTCGGCTGGTTCACCGCCTAATATTTGGTAGAGAGCGTGGTGAAGGCCCATGAGGATGATCCCAAGAAGGAAGCCCACGCTCATGACCACTGGGGCACGCCAGTATGTGGCCGAGGCGGGAAAGGCCGTTTGCCTCGAATGAGAGGACGGTTCAGTGGTGTTTTCCATGCAAAGCAAGGGCGGAGGGATTCTGACTTAGCGGCGTAAAGGCTGAAGGAGAGATAACGCCAATTCGAATCCGACGATCTAAGAGGCACAGATTGACCAATACCGATAGCAAATGACGAGGGTCTGTTGTATGGTTCCGGAGTGCATCTGACGGGTATACGGAGTATCCTGTGCGCGGTTGTTTGGGGCAGACGTGAAGAAAGGTGTTACAACAGGGTGGAGATGGGGACTGTATATATACAGATTGACCTTCACAGACTCGCAGAATGCTAGATAATAGCGAATGCAGCATATTGGTAGCCCGATCGCGCTATGAGGGGGGCTGTCCGTTCACCACTGGCTGTGATTCTGACGTATATCCGGTACCAGGGGTTATGTTAAGGCGTCGACGACCAAGATAACAGGGCACGCTGCACCGCTAGTGGCTTTCCGAAGGCCATAGCTGGCATGCATAACCCGCATGGCTCTGTTGCGTCAAAAGTCGATCCTCAGAAAGTAGAAAGAGTTAATGAAGGGTGCTCATGCTTGCCATGTCACGTGACTCGATGACAGAAGAGACACCTGAGAAATGGGTGAGAGACACGTGAGCGAGAAGCCAAGAAATGATGACTAACGGCCCGGATTGCAGCCAATCAGATCATGAATGCCAAGATAGGTGCTCATTGGTCGAACTGAGGGCGTCACTGCGGGCTGTTGACGCCTCCATCACCTTTACCGGTCCCTTAGGCCTCGAACCGTGCTTGCATCGCGAAGCGTCTGGTGACCGTATAGTAGCTATATAAAGCTGCTGATTATACGCCGATCACTATCACCGGGATTGAATCCCCTGCATGAAAGATGTGACTGCTGCTCAAGATTCTCACCCATGTCGGAACCAGGCAGCGAGGGATGGCGAGAACTCCAGACCTCTTCACGCCGCCAATGTCCCAAGCTGTTCTACCAGTTCTCAACCACCTGCGAATCCCTGACGCTGCTCGTCACCGACTTGATATCCATCTGGGAGACTAATTTGGACAGCTACGACATCAAGGCGACAGCTGCCCGGCAGCATACGACAATCGACCCGTCGGCCTCGGCCCGCCAGTTCGAGGTCTTGCTTTCCAAACTCCGCCACAGCCTGAGCGATGGCGACAATACAATCACACGCGGATCGGAGAAAAGTTCACAGACGCTGCACCTCCGCACGACAATCGATCTCCCTCACCCTCTAAAACCGCTCGACTGGACGTTCACGCTAGAACCCCAGACCAGCTCAGAACTTGCTGAACGCATCCTCCGTCCCAGCCTGCACGAGGTCGCCGTCTCGCAGAGCAAAATCAACTCCTTGCTCAGCATCGTCAGGGAGAAAGATCACGTAATCTCGAAACTGCTCGATCGGATCGGCAACTCGGCTGTTGACTTGAGCCTCGTTTTCCCTGGCATTGCTGGTCTTGCGTCGAGAAAGGGTAGCCACGTCTCTGTTGCGGATGCGAAGAAGCGCGTTCCTGGGATGGCAGAATTTGACGAGGAAGGCTGGATCAAGCAGTTCGCCAACGACGACGGGTACGAGGGCGCGGATCGGACAGGGTTGAGTAAGCTTGTTCGCGGGTGTGAAAAGTGCTTCGTGCACAGCAAGTCTGAGCACGACAACTGGGTCAAGGATTTACCGACGACCACTGCAATGCTGCGAGGCGTGAAGGACGGCGCGCAGCGCAAGTCGCCGCCAATGACATCGGCTAAGATGAAGTCCCGCCCAGACAACGAGTCTACGGACGATGAATTCGAGCGTCAACCAACCCCACCGCACCTGAAGAGCACGAGTCCTACAGCCAAGAGGGTAACCCGGCCCGCCGTCACCACCGACGACGAGGAGACCCAGGACGAAGAGTCCACTCTTCCAAAAAGTCCCAAACCGTCCAAAATCGGTGGTCTCGGCAGACGAGGCGCAACCAAAGCATTTGGCGCCTCTAAAGGTCCAGCAAAGGCATCTCCGCCCGTTAAACGAACGGCGTCACCAGTGCGTCGAGCATCACCCGCGTCAAGCGAACCAGCTACTGCAACAGCAACAGCAACAGCCTCAGAAGACGAAAACGAAGACGTAGATCTGGACGACGAAGACATCCGATTGCCGTCCCGACGAGGCACCAAATCTCCCCAACCAGCCCAGAAGCACAAACCACGCGGGGCGAACAAGAAGGGAGCCACGACGCGCTCACCATCAGCAACACCCTCGCCTTCGCTTTCTCCGTCGCCCCTGCCCACACGCTCACATCCCAAACACTCGTCACCGGCCTCTCTCCCAAGGGGCAAGAAAGAAGACCACGAAGGGGAAACCGAAACCGAAACCGAAACCGAGGATGAGGACGAGGGCGAGAACAAGGACAAGGCCAACGACCGCGACCAGCCCACTTCCACCTACACCTCCGGCTCTGCCGAGCACAAGCCGAAATCCTTCAAGCTCCCTACGCCCGCGACAGCACGACCATCCCACCGTCTAGGTCGCCTGGGCGCGCGCAAGACAGTCACGACGCCAGAGCCCACACCAGATCCAGCCACAGCCTCAGCCTCAGCCTCAGCCTCTGACGAAGAGCCGCCGCCCTCTTCCCAACGCGACGAGACGCAAACCGTCCGGAAAGCAGGTATTCGCAAACTCGGCGCCCTGCGGAAGAGGAAACAACCACACGGGGATGAGACGTCCTCTCCGCCGATGACGCGCCCGGATGCCGATGCCGATGCCGATGCTGATTCCGATCCACGCGGTTCGGAACCTCCCAAACACGCGGGCCCGTCCCGGTCTATATCGGAGTCTCGGACTAAACGCCGCGCATCATCAGCTGAACCTTCGCCACCAAAGGAGACGGCCGAAGAAGCAGCGTCCCGTCGGCGGATGCAGTTGAAACGCACGATCGAGGCGGGTGTGGTGGGGAAGAAGAAGCGGAGGTTCTGAGCCTGGACTCGAGCGCTGAGATTCCACATATATTTTGTAAACGTAAAGCCCGCGTGGGGATCATGTGCTCTAAATCCAAATGTCAGGGCGATTGCTCTCAATCTTCGCCCGCTCGGCAAACTTGTTGCAGCTGGCAAGCAGCAAGCGGCACATGTCCTGTCCTCGTTCGCCCTCATGTTCAATACAGGCATCCAAAGTGTGTTCCTTTCCAAGCCGCGAGGCCAATGCTCTTTGCTCTGATAGCAGGAGAGCCCGAAAATACCAAGTTACCAAATCCCCCAACGGAAGAAGGCGACTAACTTTTGCCACGCTGTGTCTTCCCTCAAGCTGGACACATCTTTCAGCACTGGAACTGATTCCCACGCGTCTAGCATATCCGTCGTCACCACATAAGACTCTCATCATGGTCAATTTTGCCAGAAGCGTAGCCACTCTGGACGCGAAAAGGACAGAGAATGGACAATCGATAGGTGATAGCATCCCGCAGACGAGAAAATGCCGCTGCGCCGAAATTTCGATCCATAGGATCAGCTAGGTTGTCGGCCACGTTCTGTACAGCAACTGGCGTCTGTCGCACATGATATCCGTTCAGGTCAAGGATGACCCGGTGGTTTTCCACCCTGCCCGTGCGTGCCGTTGGTGTGTCCCGTCTGCGAACTCTCAGACTGAGCATCCCCATCTTGATCCTGGTCATTCACGGTCCAGTTGGCCCGCAGATGGCTGCTCTCGCTAAAGTTGACCCTTTTGTGGCCTCGAGTCCACTGAGATTGGTCTCGTTTCTTTGATTGTTCGAGCTCCTCTTCGCTGACACTCGCACTATCAGCTTCGGCTTCTTCCAGTGCTTTTCGCGCTCGGGTATGCAATTCCGCAGCCTCAGCAGCAGCCCTCTGCGCTCTGGACTGTTTCCGCCACATGCTTGCATATTTGCCTCCGAGTGCAATAAGTTCTTGGTGCGTACCGCTTTCAACCACAGTGCCGTGAGAAAGCACCAGAATTTGGTCGGCGTTGACAATGGTGCTAAGTCGATGGGCGATGATGATCATGGTTCGTCCTTCTGCAAGGGAGTTGAATGACTCCTGAATCTTCTCTTCGGTCTCGGTGTCCAAGGCAGCAGTGGCTTCATCAAGCATAGTGATGCGCGGATTTTTGAGGAATGTTCGGGCAATGGCGACTCGTTGACGCTCTCCGCCCGAGAGTCGCACACCGCGCTCCCCAACTTTTGTGTCATAGCCATTGGGAAACTCCATGATCCGGTCATGGATTGAGGCTGCCCTGCAAGCGTCATAGATTTGTTCATCCGTCGCATCTTGATTGGCGTAACGCAGGTTGTACATGATGGACTCGTTGAACATGTTGCAATCCTGCGGCACGACACCAATAAACCTCCGTAGCGAGTCGATGGTGATATCCTGAACATTTCTCCCGTCAACCCTGATTTGGCCCGAGTCAGGGTTGTAGTAGCGGAAGATCAGCCTTGAGACCGTGCTCTTTCCCCCTCCGGATTCACCCACTAAGGCCGTTGTTGACCCAGGCTGACATCGAAAGCTCAATCGGTCCAAGGCTGGTCTCCGCTTATCGTAGCTGAAGCTCACGTTGTCAAATACAATATCACCTTGACAATCCTCAAGAACTTCGGCACCCTCTCGGTCGACGACGTGCGGCTGTTCTTTGAAGAGTTCCAGCATTCTCTCGGCATTGATGAGATTGGTCTGAATAGCTCTGTAAAAGGTGCCGAAAAAGTTTAGTGGTCCTTGCAGCTGTGCCATGTAGGTGATCAAGAGGACAAATTTGCCCACGGTCTGATCACCTTGCGCCACCTCAAATGCTTCGATGAAACAAGCAACCAACAAGGCAATCATGAAGAGCGCACCCTGCACCGTATTCATATAAGCCAAAGTCACCTCAACCCAGTATTCGAAACTCTGCATGGTCTTGATCGATGCTCGGTATCGGCTGAATTCATAACCCTCGGCGTTGAAATATTTGACCGTGTCCCAGGAGTGTAAAGAGTCATTCTTGACAGCTTCCATTTCTCGGTCTGCGTTGACGTAATTGCGGCGCAATGTAACTCGCCACGCGGCAAGCCGAATGGTGACATAGATGTACAGAAATGTCACGATGGCCACCACCAAACCCAGGTATGCGTCGAATTTGATGGTTAAAAAGACAACGGCGACAACGAGGTCGAAGACCATGGGTCCCACCTGGAAGGTGACCATCTCAAGAAAGCTATTGATCGAGCTCCCCTTGTTCAGAGCCGAAATCAGCTCTCCCGTTCGTTTGCCTGTATGAAATTCGGCGCTCAGACCATGAACGTGCTCAAAAGCCGCCGTAGAGATGGCGCGGTAGGAATATTGCTCCACCGGGATCCAGAGAATTGACCTGGCCGCGCTGAGAATACCTTGGGAGCCCTGAAGCCACCTAAACAGGATATACAAGGCGATATCCAGCCAAGGAGCTCGCACCCCGCCATCATCATCGCCGGACAGGGCGTCAGTGATTTTGCCCACCATTACAGGGACGAACACATTGATGACTCGCTGACCGATCATGATGAGGAAGCAGGATCCTGCGAGAAGCTGCAACTTGAGTGACTTCTTGGGCCACAGGTACGGGATCAGCATGGCAAATCCTCGCAAGTAGGCGTACCAGGTTATGTTGGGCACTTCCGTCGGTTTGGCCCACGCATCGACATGCTCCTTGGGCTCGGTGGACGGAGTATTAGCATTTGAATGGTTGGCACGGGTGTCAGCAGTGGGGCGTCTGCCAGATTCGACGTCTCCACCAAGTAAGGGCGTTCTCTCATTCTCAGTGCCCGAGGCTTTGGTCTTGTGTCTCCGGCAGTTGATTTTGATCGCAATGAAGAGGATGCACAGACCAAGGAGGAAAACGATCCGGCCCAGGTTGACGACAACTTCGAGTGATTCCCAGCCTGTGATGTTCTCTCTGTACTTGCCACCCTGCTGGTTGCCTACTCGAGGTTCATAATGGGGCATGGTGTAGATGCGCAGGCTAGCACCTAGAATGACGACCTCCAAGGGGAGAGCACAAAGCCACGTGACAAAATGGGCGTTGTTTGGCGAGGGCTTCGTGTCCAGGATAGAGATGAAAACGATCAGCCAGAGAAAGGTAGAAGCGATTACGTATATCTAGACAGTGTCAGTGGAATTACAGGCACCGAAACGCAAGAGCCCCCAACCTACCACAGCATTCTTACCAGGCCACCATTCGTCTTTGCGGTTCAACAGGATCTCAAAGAGGAGGATAGCCGCATTGCCCAGGAATGTCAACATGACAACAACATGACTGATCTTAAACACAGCCTTGATCCCGGGTGGTAGGTCTTTGATGGCCGCAGCTTCCTTGACCTGATTGGCGGATCTCCTTCGAATCGGAAGTGGGCGTCCACCAGGACCTCGCATGGCTTGGATGGTGACTTTGCCATCATCCGGCGACGTTCTGATGCCATGGTAGATGAACGCGGCGACGAAGACGACAAGAAGGATGGCGGGACTGGCTGATTTGGTCACGTTCAGCACCCTGAGAGAGGTCTGAATGGCATTCCAGTCTGGCTGAGCTGGCATATTCCTCCACGTGTTGCCACCAGCAAACGGTCCCGCAGTATAAGGATGAAAAAGCCTCCCAATGTGACGGACTCGATCTTGAGCGGCTTTCGGCCAGGAGAGAGCGCAGGTCGGTCGAGCGTGTTGCCCTCACATCCACTTAAAAAAGAGTGCGGGACACCTCGCTTGTCTGTCTTCCTCGGTTGGCTGCCGAGATTGATTCAGATCTTGATGACCGAAAGTCGATTCGTATTAGATAAAACTGGTGTACGGGTGATTGAGCGAGGGACAGAAGGAGCTATTACAACAACGAAAGGAAAAGACGGCTTTGGTAGTGAAGTAGCGATCGTGGGACAAGTTGAGAAGTGGTGTCTGGAAGTGTAAAAGTTGAAGGTGCTGGCTGTATGACGACGTAAGTTGGAGAGGAGGCCTTCGGGTGGCGATCGCACTGGGGGGAAGGCGATCTGGAGGCGACAAAATTGGCCTGCTGCTGGTTCAGATTGAGTGATGGTGTGCAGTAGTCTTGTTCCTTACTTCGGGCGCCGCTCGAAGCCCAGAACCTGCGCAGGTCAAGCTGAAATCGAGCCGCTCATCAAGGTTGGCCTTCCGCGATCGCGCTCTTGTCGCGTGATGGAAAAAGGAAATAATTGGGCTGTGGTGGTGGCCGGATACTGGCTAGTGAGCTGAGTCCGAAGCGCAGACTCTGACCTGAGATGGTGTTGGGGCTGGACGATTTCGGCGGGCGCGTCGTGGTAGTGTGTGTAGCGGGGACAGCTGCCTCGATCCTAGATGCGCTGCAGTTGGCCTAGGCCCCAGGGGAAGTGCGGAACGAGGCAGGTGGGTGGCAGCTAAACGGTGTCACTGGACATGTGAGAATCCATGTGCCGTGCCTAGCGCAAAGTACGTGATACGTGGGTACGTACCTGGTGACCTTCCCTCCGCGGGTATGAGAAATACAGATGTCAAATGTCAGCGTGTTAGATGTCAGGTGCCAGTGCGGGGTGGCCAGAAGAATGCAGTCTTCACGGTGGTGACACGGGAGACAGAAAAAGGTAAATGCGGGAGAGACAGACGACGAAGAAGAGATGCTGTGGAAGGCACAAGAGCGAAGCAAGTGGCCGTGAGCTCACAGCTGGCGCATTGGCGAATCACTCTGGCATTCGCAACCGGTCTTGTTCGACAGGCAGGAAGAGGAGGGAGGAAGAGGGCGGTGCCGATGGACGCTGCGAAGGAAATATAGAGATTTCCACAAACCCTTGGCCATGATACGGGAGAATCACACAAGTGCGAGTTAGACACGGCCATGGTACGGGAGAAGCACACAAGTGCGAGTTAGAGACCTAGGTGCATGCCTCCTGATGGTATCCTCGTCTGGCTCGAGGCTGCATTGGGAACCGTGTCGCATCATGACGAGTCGGCACCTCGATTTTGTGCGTTTGAAGAGCGGGTGAGGACGAATTGAAGCAAATGGGAATGGATGCAAAAAGCGTCAAGGAGGTCGAAATTCGCTCACCGCTGAAGGGGGCGTCAGAAGCGGAATGCATGTAGCCACAGTAGCTGCTGCCACCTGTCGATTCTAGCGACGACAAGCTGCGAATCGTGCATCCCAGTGACAACGACTTCATGCCCAAACCCCAGTGACTGGCCCGGATGCACATCTGGCGTGTATAGCCCCCGGTCGACGTCCTGACTGCCGGCACTAGCTTTACCAACCCGCCAGGATGGATGATACCTGGAAGGGGAATAGTCCGCTGACTTGTCCCTCCAGGGCACGTCGACCACCAGCCGGGATTGGGCTAGGACCGCTGTCGAGGCAGCTAATTACTATCGCGCGGGACGAGCTTGGGTCCCAAACGAGCAAAAAGGCAAAGGACGGCGCAGTTGCTGAGGCTGAGAGCGGAAGGCATCTCACCGGCGAGCCTTAACTGAGCGCAGCAGCCGAAGTTCGGCATACTGACTTCAGTTATGCGCGCCTAGGCACCTGGCTAGGTAACTGCTTAAGGGCCGCAGCCAGCGTCCCGCATCCCCGGACATTCGAAGCCTCGCCAGCGCAGTCAGGCTTCTGCTCCACTCACTCTCACGTCCAGCCTTGCAAGCCAGTCACGCTGCTCCAATTCCCACCTCCATCCTTTTCTGCCATGCTGCTTCGTTGCCCTTTCTCTGGTGCATTGGACCTGGCGACTTGGTGTGCAGCTACCGTGCAGGACCACAAACTCAGGCGCTGATTATCCGTTCCAATGATGGCGCTTGCTAACAGCCATGGTTGCAGCCCCGTCGTCCTCGGTAGTCAGCATATGCGTCGAGGGCGTTGACACGGTAAGAGAACATGTCTGATCCGTCCACCTCGCAGTCTCAAAATCTTGCCCCTCCACCAGCACCTCCCCTACCGCCAGGCCGGCTTGGCCAATTGCAGAGAATTATCGCGCCTTGGGGCAAGCATATTGGTTCCAAAGCGCATGGCAGCCCAGCACAGGGCGAGAGGGACGGCGGCCTGGGTCGAATCGGCGGCATCCACACGTACAGGTATGAACGTCTGCTTGCAAGGTGTCGCCGCGCTGACTGACAAGCACCGTCGCCAGTCCACACTCGTCTCGAACCGTAACCCATCGCACCGGAATCCCTATCGCTGCCCTCGACATCAACAAGAGCAAGACTCATGCCATCTTGGCCGGAAAGGAAATTCTCAAGACGGTTCGGATCCACGATGGCAAGATCACCGAAGACTTCAATCTCCGCGCTTCCATCAGCTCCTACGCCTCGGCACATATCTCTCCCCACTCAGACAGCGCCGAGAAGCGCAGGGAGTACCTTCCGGCAAGAGATGTCAAGTGGTCGATAGGGAATTGGGAGCACATAATCGCAACAGCTGCCACGAATGGCCGCATCGCGCTCTATGACCTGAACGCTCCAAGCGCAAAGACGGAATGGGCATGGCTACATGAACACACTGGACAGATCAACAAGCTAGACATCGATCCTCATGCTGGCTATCTCTTGCTGTCCGCCAGCCAAGATAAGTCGGTCAGGCTGTGGGACTTGAGGGCCCCCAAGCCAGACAAGTCGCGCACAAGGTTTGAGGTCCGAAGTGCTGTCCGAGACGTGCGCTGGTCCCCCGTGGAGCCTTTTGACTTCGCCGTCTGCGCTGATGGCGGATTCGTTCAAAAATGGGACGCTCGTGCCCCTATGTTGCCCAAACTAAGCATCAACGCACACGAAAAAGCCTGTTATTCTCTTGACTATCATCCAGACGGCCGACATGTCATCTCTGGAGGGTTTGACAAGTATATTCGCGTGTGGGACTTCGAGAGTGACAAGAAACGCCAGAAGCCTGTTCGTCAGCTCAAAGCCCCTCATGCCATCAAGAACATCAGATGGCGACCTGCGTGTAGTATCTTGGAATCAGAGGAAACGAACTTATGGCAGAGTACCCAGGTTGCTGTCTCCTACCATCATGATGACCCTCGGGTGCACATCTGGGATCTTCGACGGCCTTTATTACCGTTTCGTGAACTCGACAAGTACACCTCGCCGGCTAATGACCTTTTGTGGGCAGACAAGGATCTACTGTGGACGGTCGGTGACGACGGCATCTTCACCCAGTGGGATGTTAGGCATAACACACCCTTTTATAACCAGCTTGCGCCATGTATTGCGCAATTTGTTCCCGATGGGCGGTACTACAGCTTCTCAGAGGACAGAGAAGTGCGACATGCAGCTTCTCACGGAGACTCCGCCGTCGGCTTTCTGAGCGTGCCACGAGACAAATTGAGCAGTGGTGATGACGGCTTGGCAAGCAGGAGTCTCACTGACGACGAGGGCGGGCTTGAGTCGACACTGGGAACGAGCTCTCGTCGCCGTGAAACCACAACCGTGCCCTCGAGATCGAATAAGTCTCAGACAAATAGCCCGCAATCGATGGATCAGAAACCGCCAATCTTATCACTTGACGAAGCCGTCCTCACCCGTCCAGACTTGTTCAACAACGATCAAGTTGGTGCTGGGGGGTACGTGCCAGGCGTGGCGGTTGAGGGAGAAGTCGTGGAATACTTAGCCTCACATTATGCCACACCGGCGACGGTCGAACTGAACCGGTCTTGCCCCGACACTATCCTTCACCGCCTCCAGGAGGTTTTCGACCAAAATGCAGCTGCTTGCGACGTGGTTGGCATGCATCGCACAGCGCAAACTTGGCGTATCCTAGGCGCAGTGGTTGTACCGGAATTGAGAGACTGGGCAGATGCCAACCGCGCCCGACGACGAGCCGACGCTGCTCGAAGAAAAGAAACATTGGAGAGCTTCCGATCGGGCGCACGCCGCCCAGCCCTTTCGCCACTGGCGGGTCTCCCGGACCGTGGGCACAACTCACATTATGACAGTAAGGGCCACAAGCTGATCAGCAGCCTGTTCAGAGGTGTGGCGGAAGGCGACCGTGTGCGTGCTGGTCTTGATGTGGACAGCACCTCGAATATGACTACACCCTTAGCGAAACCTTTACCAAACTCACCTCTGACCGATGACAAGAAATGGGCTCAAGCCAACATTGACGACAGATTGGATAACCTTCCACCATTACCACCTTCGGTGCTAAGCTCACATTCCACCGCAGCTGCGGCTGCTCGAGCTTTGATGGACTCGTCAGATCAGGCTATAAAATCGGACATATCCTCACCTGAACAGCACAAATCCACTGAGACTTCGAAGAAGCCGGCAACCGTTACCGGGCCGCCGGTATCCCCAGTCAAACGGCCAAAATCCAATTCGCTGGTCGAGCAGAAGCATGCGGCAGGTCCAAGAAGGTCTCAGGAGGACCGTCGAGCGGCATTGCGGGACTATCGGGCCCATGCGCGGCCAATTTTGAGTTTGGGTGACTCCGTTCACCATGGAGCTTCTGCGTCCAGACATGATTCTGCAGAGAGCTTTCCCATGTTCTCTGTATCGACAGACAGCTCGCACAGAGTACCGTCCGTCGGACGGTCTTTGGAATCTGCTCGTGATACGGGCAGGGCGTCTATGCAGCGTCAACCGAGCGACCTCAGTTCGGCTAACGAGGATGATTTTGACGGAACATACTCCTATCGCTCTCTTGATCGGACAACGGTGGATGAGAGAGTGATTGACACGTTTGATGAACCCTCACCCAGTGTCTCTGCGATTGAGCCATCGCTACAGATGAGATTCGGGCTCGACGGACAGACTCCTTCTTCAGAAGGACAAGGCACATGGCGTGCTCCTAGAGAGGTCAAAGACAGTTGGGATGCAAGCCGAGAGCATGAGCCTATCCTCCCATCCCAGCTAGGCACAGCAGTATCATCATCACCAGACATCTTTCATTTCGAGGCAGGCACCTCAGTACCCAAGCCACGAATTCACACGTCCAACCCTCTTCGATCCGATCATTTGCGCCACAGTAATGGTGAAAACATCCGGCCCAACGAGAGTGAACTATCGAAGACTCTGTCACTGGACGAGTTGGATTGTCCGACGTACTTGGCTCAAGACTTCCGTCCCATCGACCTGTCGAGGTACGAGCCAAAACGGCCATTTGCATGGTCGTCGATCCCATTGATATGTCAATGCATATGCTTCGATCTGGAAAGCGGCATTGCATATGCACAGTTTTCGGTCCACCTTTTGATGCATGTCCATCAATATTTTTTCCACCCAAGCTTCCGCAGCATGGAGGCAACGCCAGGCAAAGCTGTGGACAATCTTGCTGACAGACTGATGACTCCGCAATTCGGGCATCGGATCATCGGCAGTATCTTTGAAGGCCATTTGTCATTCTTGACGCAGATGGGGCTCTTTGAATCGGCGGCACTGCTGAGGAAAGTGTGTGTGGAGTTTGAGTATCTCCAGCCCTATCAGTCATCACCAGCAGGGAAGCCGGCTGCCAGCGGTCTCCCCGACCGAGATCACAGTACATTGTCGGTCGTATGTGGCAGCTGCCAGGCACCAATGCCAGCGGGAAGAAACACGTGTGAGCGGTGCCGGCAAGCAAGGGCAGTGTGCCCGATCTGCGAGTCACTGGAGGATGGCTATAAAAGGGATCCGGATACGAACCCGGCCGGCCACACCGCACTGTGGGGCCAGAAGAACAGTATGTGGATGTCTTGCCATGCTTGTGGCCATTCTGGTCATGTCCGGTGTTTGAGGGAGTGGTTCAGTCAACACTTCAGCGAAGGGAGGTGTCCGACGCCCGGCTGCGGTTGTGACTGCGGGCCTGGTCTGACACGAGAACGCCGTATCGAGTGGCAAATCAAACGGGAGGACGAAGTCAAGCTCATCCGAGGCACGAGTCCCGGGCACAACGCTAGCGGCTCAACCAAGCGAGATCCCTTGAAGGCAACGCCAAGCCCGGCGGTCGACAAGGCGAGAGCAGCTCTGCGAAACAGTTTTGCAGCAGAGCGGACAACGCAAAGCGGTGACGAGCGGAACTTGCCCGATAGGAGAGGCAGCAATCGGGGACGGACGTCGGGATTTAGTAGCTCACGGAAGAGTGTCCGGCTCGTTACACCAGGCGAAGAAGAAGATGGACACTCGTAGTCCAGATCATGGGAGTGGAAGACAGTGGTGCTCAAGATCTCTTCCCCGAGCCACGCCACGGGTCGCCATCTCGATCTGCCCTCCGGCGAGGTGTGATATCAAGCCTTCCGCCTAGTGCATCCTCTCATTGCTTGTTGCCAAGGTCTAGGCCGAACTCAAAGCAGTCAGCTCACGGAAGGCTGCAGGTTATGTCCCCTGCGGCGAACCCTCGACCCGAAGGCAGCCTCATCCGTCTATCCGATGAGTATGAAGCGTTGCCTCGCGTGGGCAATTGGGAGGACGGTGCCGCTCAGCACCTCAATGATCTGGCTGAAGCGGAATAGACGTGAGTGGGTGGAATTGTCGGGGTCGCCTTCACCTCTGGTGGGTTCGGAAGAGCTGGCCTGCATTAGCTTGAGTGGCTAGCAACTGCACGGCCAGAATTATCTGACCGTTGCGGCGGCGGCGCCTTTGACACATGAAACGGTGTAGCAATGGCGTCAATGGACATTCAACCCCGGACTGCCGAATCGAATAGTGCGATAGCGGCCGCTTGCAAGACAGGGTGATTATCAATGTACTCCAACTCGTAAATAGCGCGATTGAATGGCGCGCACCGAAGCAGCGAATACATAACAGATCGGAGTACGGAGTACGGAGTACAAAACCCGACTTTACATGCGGAGTGTGGGGCCATTAATCGCTTGTGAGGTGTGGGTGAGTTGTAGGTGAAGTGAGGGTGAGGTCCTTGTGAGGTGGCGGTGAAATACTTCTGAGGTCATGTTACAAGGACGACCCATTGTGACCGCTGACTGTATGGCTGCATGGCACCTGTTTAGCTCGTAGACTTTGTTGGTAATCTTGCTCTAATCACATGTGGGAACTACTCGTTCGAACGGTTGCTTCGCTGATCATCCCACTGTGCCTGTCAATCGTTTCCCAGCTCACCCATGCTCACTCCCCAAACAACCGCCATTGACGTGAAGGTCACAACGATCACAAGCTGCACAACGCATCTCTTGGTCGGCTCATCTTTGACCTCGGACATTTCTGGTTATTCCTACATCCGGTCCAAGAATACGAGGTACTGAGTCCATCAGGACGGGCCTTTCAGTCGACATGATTCGGCAGATAAGCCAGCCACGAGCCTGAAGCCCGTCATTCTTGGTGGACAGGCAGCCAACCAAGGCCGTCACCGTAGACCCTCTGATGGTGTCGTGAACAGAACAAGCCCTATCTTCACGAGTCACCGTCACTCTCGGTACTCCATACCGGGTTTATTTTCATCGGGCCTGCGCGGCTTGCGGCTGACCTGCGTCGCGGCCACGAAGATGGGCGGTCCTTCATTCGTGGACAGGGCCGAACTAAGCATTTTACAGAGCATAGCCAAGGTTACGAAGTTCGAGCTCGACTAGCCAGCCCTGAACCCAAAGCTCCAACATCCACGCCTCGAGGGACGGGGTTAAGCTAATGATCACTCAGCGGCGTCCAAGAATATCAACGTGCATCGCCTTGCGCCGGCCTCAAATGGTCTAGGCTCGTTTGCTAGAGCCCCAGCCTTCCTCTTGCGCCTCTGGCATCAGCACCAAGTCATGAGCTCGCCAGTCGCAACTGACCGCCCGTCCCATCAGAAATCCTTCGGGCTTTGGGAATCTTCACCTCATCCGGTATAAGGCTGTCCACGCTGACGGCTCTTGCGCCCAATTGACGGCTCACATCAGACCCATGCCAGGGACTGTTCCTGCATTTAGCCTAACACGTCATGCCGGTCGCCGGACCCCGTTGGACTGTTAGACAAATCAAGGCAGGAGCTTAACCAAATCTTGACGCTAACACCGCAGACTCCAGACGGTTTCCAGCTCCGACGGCGACCATGTTCAGCAAGACCGACCGGTCACGAAGGCGCAGCTGAAGGGAGGCTCGAGCTTCACACTCGATCGCATAAAGCATCTGGCCTCCCACGTCTCAAGAAGCATTTCTCTCGCTCAGATCATCAATCAGCTCTCCGCAACAGCAAACGTCACTTTCGTTTACGACCAAGGCCACTCGTTGTCCTCATATAATCAATACCACCAATATCAGGCACAGCCTAATTAATCCAGCACAAAGTCCGTCTCTTCAGACACCACACCAAGTCAACACATCAAAATGCGTTTCTCAACCGTCGTCGCTCCAGTCGCCTTGGCCGCCGTCGCCTCTGCGGCCCCATCTCTAAAGGCCCGTGCTGACGGTGATGCCTCATGCATTCCCTACGAGGTCGCCATCGGTATTGAAACCACTTGGATCTCCACCTTGACCAACTACGACCAGGCAACCGCCGAAAACCTGCTGTACCCTCAGCTCGTCGACTTCTCCGACTCGATCAACTACATCGCCGGTATCCCGCTTGGTGGACCCACCTTCCCGTCAGCCGAAGCATATGAGCAAGGTCAGGGCGCTCAACCCCCCATCGGTCTCACCGTCTTGGGTACTGATGCCATCACCTGCGACGGTGTCATCGCTCTCCGATGGGTCGGCCAGGTCGGTTTGAACACCTTACCCGCCCAAGGTATCACCATCTTGAAGGCCATCAAGGTCGGTGACGCCGCCGTCGTCGGCCCCACCGGCTGGCAGCTCGCCGAGATCCACACCGAGTTCAACTCGGCCGCCTGGATCGTCGACATTGGTGGCTCTTGCCCTCCCCCCTCTGCTCCTCCGGCCCTCGCTTAAATGGGGTTGAAATGGTCGTGAGACACGAGAGAGGCAAGGGGAAAAGGGAAAAGTCACCGGTATGGGAATTGTATCTATCATCATCATGTCGCATTAGCCTGCGGTTCGTCTCGAGAAACTAGAGTAATGGGAATCACGCAGCCCTCGCACAGATGGGGCGTAATGTTATGTCATTGTTTATACAGAACCATGCAGAGTACAGCACAATGTCGAGCATAAGCGGGGTTTGAAATGTCCTTTCCTCCAGAATAGATGGTGAGTGTGCGGGAGAGATCCCTATGACGAAAATGTAATGTCTGGACTGGTCGAATCAACATGCATCGAATAGGTTTCTATCTTCGTGGTGATTGTCCACCCTGTCATCACATGAGTATACCGCAGTGCCCTTAATAGCGACGAGTGCGACAGAGTCAAGGAAACCAGATAGCTGAGGGAGGCAGGGCACTCCGATGATCGCCAAAGCATGTACGGAGTGCTTGGAAGTGGGAGTTGAAGTCCGCCGCAGAAGACGAAGCACAGACACGACCTTCATTGCCTTGAGCGGCTTCTGCCCCGTATAAGCACGAGTATAGGAACTAATAAGTGGGAGATGCGAATTTCTTGGCGGACGGGAAAGTGGACGTAGCTACTGTTGTTGTGTGAGAAGTGAGAAGTGGGAAGTCAGATTCTCCGCCTGCGACACTCGGGTCTACTGTATACTGTATATTGTATATTGCATACGCAGTGTGTACAGTATACACATGACTCAAAATTCGGGCGATGGACTAGAGTGCAAGGCGATGATCGTTCATGCACAATGTCGAGGAATAAGATCAGAGAGGAGACCACACGGAATGAAAGGAAGGAAACAGCGGGTGATGGGAAGAGAAGGATCTTGCCGAGGAAAACGTTACTTTACCACCCGTTACAGTACCAAGCTTGTATACGGTGGACTCCTTTTGTGAAAGGGCAGTGCAAGGCAGTTCCTCAACGCAGCCTCGAGCGAGATAGAGGTCGGTCAATATATCAAATCGACGACCGGAGTATATACACAGTACGGGGTGCGCGGGGTGGCTCAGGCCCAGCAGACGAATCATCGATTATTTTCTGTCTTCTTGATCTCCTTGATAGCCTGCAGCGTGACCGGATAACACAGTATGATCATGTGCATGCCGTCCGCAGGCAAGACCCTCACTTCTGCTCGTTCCCCCATACGCCTCAAACGCCGGCGAGCTTGTCAGCAAGCAATGGCTAATTGTGCCGTCCATGTTCTTGTTCTATCCAGTACAGTACCGATGATTACTCTTGACACATCTAATGCTTCATTCCACATCCACATTCTTCAAGTTCGCGTTTCCGATGCTTGAAATCGCCATGGTATGCGTCTAATGCCACGAGACTGCCATCTTCGTTGACCGGAAGTCCTTCCGGGCCCATCCACTCACCCCATTCGCGGGCCCCGTCGTCACTCTCTGTCTTGACTTTCTTCGACTTCAATTCCTTGGTTACCACTTCCAGGTTTAGATCTAAATACTCGGCAATGAACTGCCCGACCTCGATATTCTCGTGGTTACCGACCAATTGCGGAGCGTGGGAAGGGTGGGAAGCGTAGATATTCACATCGACGGCCGAGTGTCCGTGCGTGGACCAACCGATCTGCGCGCGTCGGGAGATCATATCGGAGAAAAGGTAAAAAGGTGGCCACGTGGGAGTGGCATCGATGATAGCTTCGATCTCTTCGTCCGTGGTGTCGGTTATCCCGAGTCCTGAGGTGATTAGCTCGCGAAGTCTGGAGGACTGGTCCTTTCGTGAAGCGGCTGTTCCAGATGAGGAGAGGTATTGTGACCATTCGGCGGCGAGGTATTCTGTCGAATGCGTTGCGTTGTCCAACACCGCAGGGAACCATCGGTAGATCGGGTATGCTTCGTGCAATTGCCTTGCTGCTGCCAATCCGCCGGTTTCGTGGTCAGATGTCGATACCAACACGCCTTCGGTGTCGTCTTTCTCCAAGAAGTCCAGAACTTCACCAAAGGCTCTGTCGTGAGCCATAACTTCGCGAACTTGGGCACCAGGATCGTTCGCGTGGCCGGCGTGGTCGATTCGAGAGCCTTCGATCATCAAGAAGAAGCCCTGGTCAGAATCCTTCGTCGCTGCCGAGAGAGCTTTCAATGCAAAGCGCGCCATTTCAGCCTGGGATGGGTATACATCCGAAACGTGAACTCGGTCAATCTCATAAGGGATGTCGGTTCGAGCAACGAGGGCAAGAAGCGGGAGCTTGACGCCGTTAGGGTCCAGATCATCGAAGTCTTTGCGATTGTCCACATAGGTAAAGCCGTATTTGTCCTTGGCCATGGCGACGATGTCCTTGTCATCTGCTCTGCATGAATCCTCGGTTGTGTTGGGGACGAAATGGCATCTTCCGCCTCCGATCATGAGATCAACAACACGGCCGAGAGGATAGTGGCCAACCATTTGCTCTGCGATCAAATCTTCGTATTCCCTTCGATTGGCATGGGCTGCAAAGCAAGCAGGAGTCGCATCGGTGAGTCTAGTGGTGACCACCAGTCCGGTCATGTAGCCTGCTTTTTTGGCGGCTTCTAGAACAGTACCGCAGGGAGTGTGATCTGGCAACACCGATATGGCGCCATTATAGCTCTTGAAGCCGCATGAAAAGGCAGTTGCGCCGGCAGCCGAGTCAGTGACCAGGCTGCTCGAACTCCGAGTCCTCGAGTTGCCGATATGATGCTTGTCAAGGATGAGGACGTCGTCGTATGACAATCCGCTCGAGTATTGTCTCCAGCTCCTTGTCATGGATAGGGATGTAGGTCCCATGCCATCTGATACCATAAAGATCATGTTTCTTTTGCCTGAAGGTTTCCCGTCTGGTCCCCAGCCTCCAGTCCGCGGCCTCGTGCGGCCTATGGAGGACTCATGTTGGTAGATGACTGCCAGGATGATAACAGCGACGGTCGCGAGCAGGGCCCAGACGAAAAGACCAATTTCTCGCCATTTCTGGGGTCTCTTTGCGGGTTCTCGATGGGTTGGTTGGCCTGTGAGGAGGGCGTCTTCCTCTTCGATGTCGTTTGTGGATGAGTTTGGAGACGCTGGTCGCGCGAGAAGAGGTTCTTCGCGTGCCATGGGAGGCGTTCTGTCGACACGCGAGGGCAGGGTGGCCAGTTCCTAGCCTAGTGAAGCCATATGGTATGTGGTTGTCGTCAAATGACCTGAACTGCTCCAAGGGCATGTGGACGCGGCTCGGGGCTCGGGGCTGTGGAGGAGAGTCACGTGCCGCGGTCTTCACAGAACTGCTCACGCTCACTCGCTCACTCGTGCCTCACCCAGCACTCACTTACCTTTCACTTTCCAACAACTGTTCTCCGTCACCCGATTTTTGGCTTGACCTCCTGGCTGCTACGGGATACTCGCTCATCACATCTCTATGCTACAATGGCGGCAGGTTGTGTAGGGCTTCCCGAACGAATGAACCGAGCCCTTTAGATATGTTCTACATACGCCTCCAACCACCAGGCAACTCAACATGCACTGGGAGCTGCATCGAATCCGGTAATGACTGGCGACAGACTACGCACGTACAAGTATTGAACAACGATTCAGACCTGTTGCCGCCGAACACTTGCACGAGATCGAACACTAGACAGCCATGAGACTGCCGCGTGCTTGGAGGTGGACCTGATCATTCGGTGAGATGCACTAAAGCCCTTCCGTCTATTTTCTGTCCAACGAGGGGTGCTTTGCCCTCTTCGCTCTGTCCGCCTTTGTCCTTCACGGCCAAGGCCTGGTCAAGCGCTCGAGCAAAATGCTGAGAAGACTGGTAAGAATCTAGGTGAGTCGACGACGGCGCTGGTGACTCTGAGACTAGGTTGTTGGGGGAGCCTCCAACTAGCGTCCCCTTCAAGAGATAATCCACGAGAGTCGTTGACGTGCTTGGGCAGCTCGATGTCTTCGGCCGATGCACGATTGACCCCTATCGATGTTGACGACAGTATGGCGCATGACAAGGTACGATGGGGGTTACACTGAGATTGCGTATGAAAGGAAGACCTCGCGCACCTCTCTTATCAGGCTGTGTCTGGGATTCTTGACAACGACAAAAATTGCCCCAGCAGCAGCATATGACTCCACGAGTATGCATACGTCCTTATCAGCAGAATTACCACGCTGTCCCTGGCGCCACTGACCAACAGGTATACCACGAAGCAGATGGGAGAATGGTAGATTGGGAACAGATGCAGCGTCCACCGATCGAGTTGGCCGCCGTGCCAGAGGTACGGCATGGACGTTAATGAGCTTCCTCCCAATCGACGTTGAGAGGGTTGTACGGCAACGGAACAGGAGTTTGGGACAGATTCTCGCGAAGAGAATTGATGCCACTCTACGCCAATACTTGGGTACTTTGGCGGCTTAATCAAGGAGGTCTCGTCCGGCAGCGACGGGGTAACTGTGATGCAATCATTGGCGCCTCCAGACTGTGGCTGGCTGAGCGTGGAAGTCTCGACCACATCAGGGGCATGGACGAAAATCGTCCTACGCAAAGCCCAAAACCAAACGTGCCATATTGACTGGTGCATACGTGCTGACCCCTACCATTATCGAAGTGAACCGCATGTGGCAATGCCAGATAGCAGCAGAACCGAATCTTCCTTGACAGGGGATGCCGCTGTATTTATCACCACCGCCTCTCGTCGCTTGGCGCTGATTGCGCAATCACAAGGGATGCGGGCGCCATCACTGGGTGGATCGAGTAAGATATCATGTCCAACTTTATATCAACCATGTCTGTAGCCCGTCGCACTTCTCTTGACGACTTCCATGATTGTTTTCCCGCCAATGTGGTCGTCAAGTGTCGAATCTTCATTTCCCGGTCACAAACAACCATTAGAGTTTTATAGCCTTGCGCATGCTGCAAGGCTGGGACCAAAAGGACGCGGGCGGTGCTTCAAGAGTGCGTCACTGCTTATTGTAGGGTGCTTACACCCAGGCTTTATATCAAAGTCCTTGTATTACAAGAGGATCTAACCAGAATATCCGCAAAAGAAGTTTCCGTGACCGAACACCAACCCGTACTGCGAGTCGAGCACAAGGATGTCTCGGACTGCCCTATCGAACGCCCATGCTGAAAGCCAGAAGACTGCGCCCATTGGCAGGCTCCCATGATTGTACACACAAAGTTCTCCCTTTTGTGGTCGAGCAACGTCCGACAGGCCCCGACAAAATTTCTCAGACCTCAAATCCCATGATCAATGCCATCCCATTCATTCAGCCATTGGACTCCAGTCGGCCCAGGAAATCGAACTCGATACCGTATCATGACACCGCAACAAGACCTATGAGACCACGCCAAGAGTCTCACTACACATCACTTTCTTTAAAACACTTGGGCATATCTGCCGGCGGTATAGGCGGCAACGCCGACCGACAGGAAGATGCCAGCCCAGGCCATCATGCCCCGTTGGGCACTCTTCTTCATGAAAGTCTCCATGGCGGCAGCATCGTTTAACTTGGGAAAGGGGACATCCTTGGGCACAGGCACGCCCAGGATGGCGCAAAGGGGCTCCCAGCCATCGCGGACGTCGTAGAAGAAGAGCTTCTCCTTGGGGACAACCTTCTTCAGGTGCTCGATATGTCGGTCCCACATGGCTCGCGTCGGCCTCTGGGGCTCTCCAGGTCGGAAGTACAGCTCTCCCACGCGGCCCTCGTCGAGGGCGTCATGGTATGTTCGGAACCACCGCAGGGTCGGTAGGGGGGCCAGGATCCACGACAAGACGGTCAGGTTGCCCTTCTCGACGATGGGCGCCAAGCTGTTCCACCACTTATCGGGATCACGGACGGTGCAGATAACTTTGGCGTCGGGGTAGATCTCCATGAGTTCCTCGACAAAGGCATTCGAGGGCAGATCGGTGCAGGCGACGTACCCGTCGAGCATCTCCTTGACCCCCTCGTGCAACGCTTTCCGGTCCGCTTCGCCCTTCACCGGGGTGTGTCTGATGATGTCGATCCAGCGCTTGATGTGGGATTCTGGGGAGTTGAGCATCTGGGTGCCTCCGTGGTAGCAGGGGCCGTCGAGGAGGTACGAGCACGCGGCACCAAACGAGGTGGTGCCCGTCCTCGAAAGACCGGCTCCGATGACTTTGAGGGTCTTGCCCCCTTCGGGCTGCGACGCCGTCTGACCCATCCTGCAGTGTGTATGGGTTGTGGGTGGTGGGGTGTGGGAGGAGAGAAGCAGGTGACGACGAGTCGAAGAACCTTGGCAGGAGGCTATGGGAAAGAAGCAAATCGCCGACGGTATTGGCAGTTGCAAGTGGGAGGGGACTCTCAAGAAAGACGGCGCGAGGAAAAAGAATGGGAGGGTATCGATCGGACTGACGAGGGACCAGGGCAGCACTTATGCTTCTTTCGCCGCGCGAAGCTACGGAGTCGTCCAGATAGCCGGAGGACCACAATTCAATTTGCAGTCCGGCCCCCAAGGGGAGCACCCGGCGCTTTCTGACATGGGTGGTGATGAAAATCGGCCTCGCTGAAGGGTTGAAACTTTCCTCCTTGGGCCATCCACGAAGGAAGGAGACAGGGCGACGAGATTCCCCCTCCACCGAAGCGTACCCACATTTGACCGTGTTTGGCCCCTGCTAAGATCCCGACGTGTTAGACCGTCTGGAAATCGGTCAACGGTTACATGCCACATGAGCACGGCGGAAATCGATTGACCACTCCGGAAGTGTCCTTGCAATCTTGGTGTCTCTGGTAAGGCGACACTATCTCATGGCGGCTTACCCACTGCCGTACTTGTGGCCCACAGGATAAAGCTTGCTGATGATTTGCCGACCAAGCAAAATAGGGTCGATGAACGAATACCTCGGGCGACCAAGTCTGATGCACGCAAGCTCAACGGCCAGCCAAGGCTCAGCTTCGCGCTCTTCTTTACGAACATGGTTGCGACTCTGACGCCCGAAATTCATCGCCATGTCTTGTGACCTCCATACGGCAGCCGCGGCCGAAGACGAGATACGAACTCCAAGACTTCTTCGGCCGGCCTCGCAACTTTTTTGCACTGCCAATCTCTACAAGGTTATGGGCGGAAAGCCCCCAGAAATTGCGCACGATCAAACAGCGGCGCGCAATGATGATCGCAGGGCAGCCACAGGGCCCGCTAAACTGAAGCGGGGCATTTTGCCTGGAGAATGCGGGCGTGTGACTGGCCAGGACCCGCGATTTGCAGGTTTAGCGCCAACACCAACAACAAGACCGTGTTTGATGAGGCTGGAGACAGTGGGCGCGCCGACCAGGGAACCGCGCATCCAATGACTGCAACAAGCGAGCACCGACAGCCGGAGGAGAGACGCTGCTGCGAGACAAAGGAGAGGCGTGACGAACCAACCACAGTCCCACCCCGACTACCAAAGGAGCTATTGTAACCAAATCTCACCAGATCAACCCGGTTAGATATTCCCCAATCTCACGTTTCACGTTCGCAATACGGGCGGACAGAGTCCCTGTGGTGACTGGACGCGGCGGGCGGTGCACTTGGCAGGCGGCGTTGCGAGTCCTGCGAATCTGAGTCGGGCTTTTGACTTTGGGCTTTGGCTGTCAGAGGGGAATACAAATATCCCCTAGGCCGCCCATCTCTCCTTTTCACCCCGACCACAGTTCCCTTTTCCACCGCGGCCGCATTTCCGTCGCGAAAGCGTGCCCAATCGTTCCGGCTCAACGGATACACAAACGGCTGCGGTGGCACATCTTACATCGTCCTCCTCGTGATCACGGAGACCGTGGACCGGTCTGTGTACTGAGTCGAGTAGACGGGTGAATTATGACCGCAATGAGCCGTGCGCGACCGACAGCCGGCCCCCGAACGATCTTGGCTCGAGGAGGGTCTAGGCCCGTGCAGCTCCTGGACGGTTAATCTTGACCGAGAAAACCGTCATGAATAATGACCTGGTACCCAATCTTGCCCTAGCACAAGCCACGTTCACGATCGGCAACGCCACTCCGAGCCCACCTCGGCCAATCTGAGAACCTACGAACAATAACTCCGGATGTAGGACCGTGGTACTCGTACGGAACACGGAAAACAACGAAGCAGCATCCAAATATAACACACGTGATACAGATGCTTCGTCGCCGTCGGTGCATAAGCTGTGTTCCAACATCTCTGTCTGTGTCTGTGTCCGAGTACGAGGTACTCGTAGCGAGTGACTTGGTAGGTCGCCTTGTCAAGGTGCGATGGATCAGGGGGGCACACTATCCCGTAACGTACATAGTATGTAGAACTCGCTTATTAACGCCTTTTCCAGAGATGAGAGAGAGAGGGCCTGAAGCAGCCGGGATGATCTCACGATCCACAAACAAGCATATCGAAGGGGGGAGGGGAGGCTTACCAGAGTCCCCTTCCCTTGACTGTAGGAAGTCTGGAGTCGCGTGCCTACACTATCACGGACCCGCCGTCCCCTCCCGTTCATTCGCGTGTCAAAGGCCCAAACAAGGACGTGTTGACCGTGCTGCATAGAATTACAGTACGGGTACTATCTATATACGAGGATCCGCCCCGACAAGACGCCGTGTGCGCGGTGCCACCAGCGACTTATGCCTTGCGCGGCCGGAATGTCCGAACCTGCTCCTTTGCATTGGACGTCTTGTGAGGCAATGGAAGAAGATGGACGTATTGACACGCTGATGCCAGGACCTGCTGTCAGCAGTTCCACGACGAGGTGTACCCCTGGAGAATATAAAGGGACTTAGTGCTTACCGTGGATCTTCTATTCTCGATCGTGCTATCTAAGTACGTAGTACGGGGTGCTCCATAGGAATAGAAAGCCTAGAACGTCCGGGAATATGGAATCATAGGGGGTGAATTACAGTATCCCAGAGAAAACGGAAGTCTGCTCGGCGAAATTGCGACTCCTACATACACTCCCTATCGAGTCCTACCTTCCCTGCTTCGAGGACTTGTGTACCGTAACAGGCCGGAGGACTGTGATGATTCCGACCCCGAGAGCCGGCATCCAGTACTGTACGACGGAGTGCTCACATGGAATCGTGCGACCATGTTGACTGCAGCCGCTGTGCTTGAACCGGAAATACCTCCCACTTGCTGAGGACACAGGACCTTGTAGGGCGTTTTCACTGCAGGGCTGCCGGCTCCATGGTGGTGCATATACCGCGAGAAGTAGTACGTAGTATGTCGAGCAACAGTACCAGAGGCAGAACAGGCGGAGCTACTCCGTACCGGTTCTCGGAATAGCAAGAGACCATCCTCGGTCGTGGCCTCAATATAGATGCTCATTCGTTCCCCAGGATCAAGGGATGGCAACTCGCGTTGCTGATCCGGGCTCGTCGATGTAACACATCCCATACATGCATATGTGCCGTACGGAGTACCCGGTCCTGCATGACCATGACGTCCAAGGCGGTGTAAATGGGACTCCGCGCTGCCAGGAGCAAGGGAGGAGGAACCAGTCCTCGCGACCTCGAGTCTGCGAACCTGGGACTGCGGACATTTAGTTTTATAGTCGGACTACCGATCGAGTACCATTTACACCCTCCATAGCACTCGCGACAACGTACAGTACGTTTGCAGTATTGTGCGTTGTCCGGTACTTGGAGCGACGCGGACATGTGATAGTGATGGACTTGCTCACACGCCTGTCCTGTCCTCTGGAGACGCTGAGCTACATTTCGAGGATAGTGACTGTGACTGTGACCTTGCAGGGAGTGTGGGATCTAATCTCGCCGATCCCGAGCCCCGATCTTGGCCGAGTGCCTAAGCAACAGTAGTTGCGTGCCCAGACGCCGAAGCTTCATGCCGGCCCTAGACCAGAAGACCCATGGACCTTTTCGTCGGGTAAGAAGGATGCAAGTCTTGTACAGAGTACACTGGGTGAAGACAGCAGTGTGTACTCCGTCCTCCGTACGGAGTCCGCAGAGGTCTTCTGCCCTCGGTGTGTCTCTTCGTCATGACTGTGCCTATCTTCGAGATATGCACTGTGCAAACTCCTCTTCTGGCTCGCTACTGCACCATGAGCCATCGTTTCCCAGGTAGCCTTCTTCCGCCAAAAGTCCATCGCAGAGCAGAGCAAGTGGAAACCCACAACGCAACGCAGAGACCCGCCGGCCGAGGTCTCGATCGTCCTTCCGTTCGCGATAACGTCTGCTGCCGCCAGGCCCAGGGGAATCCTGACCCATGAACCGTACCCCCTCCAGCAGATCAAGATGCTTGCAGAGACTCCGATCGGCACGCACCGTCGTGCCACGCCAGGGAGTGCACCGTCAATGCCCAAACCTGCACAAGCTACGGAGTTTCTGCAGTTTCATGTCGCACTATCCTGCACCAGTACCGCATGTCTACGCCACAGGCGCTCCGTAGCGCAGATTCTCTCGATGTGGCCCTTCTTCTGTCTCACAACTCGCTGCGTCGGGGAGTCCTAGTAACTAATATCCCGTCATGCGTTACATGTGGCTGCAAGCCACGGGGCTTCATCCACTTCACAATACGAGAACGCGGGTGTCGGATGTCGGAGATTGTGATTCATGGGCAAAGATCGACTGGCATGATGGTAACGTCTGGATGATAAAGCTCAAATCGAGGAGCAGCACGAAGACGACCGCCAAAACCCCAGCACTCTCGGTCCAGGTACGTAAGACATCAAGGTATGTAGCTTTGGGCTTCGACAAGCGTGTGAATCACCTGCGCATCTGTCACTCATGGAATACGCGGTCAGCATGTGCTTTGGACTGCACCATATCTCGTCGATGATATGATCCGAGACGGTGCTTTCGAGGGTATACGGCGACACACATACGAACGACGAAAGTATTCTCTTGCGTCGGTTTCAATTGTGTATGTTCTGTACTGACAACACCGACCTTCTACATCAATCCTGCCGGGCACGGTTGCTCTGCCATCGTCTTTCGTGCTCACCAATAGTGCCACCATACGGTCCTTGTTGACCTGCGAGAGGAGAAGGAATGATAGCCTCGGTGCTAGAACCGCCGCTATTTCACACCTCACGGAGGCAATATGGACTGTGGATTCATCACCATGTGATGTTCGAATGGCGGGGTATGCAAAAGCGACACGGTGCAGTGATCACTCCATGACTGTTACCAAAGCGTCGTCACTCGAGCAGCCGTCACACCTCTGATACTCGTGATCGTCCAGAAGTTTGTGCGACCACCAGGAAACGGGACCTGCTGGAGTTGTTGTCTCGCGGCTGTGAAAGAGAAAAGCCCCCGAAATATGCCCCCGTTCTGAACGAGCATCTTCTTGACAGTATCGTGACCGGGAAAGTCAGTACTCGCACCACTCAGACTGTCACTGCCCAGCCAGAAGACCTGCGAGTCTATTCACATCCCGGCTTCTGACGCTGTCCGAGGCCCGAGGTTCTACGATTCCTGGAATAGTGTCTATTACCCCTTCGCAGCCCTTCTTATTGAGACCTCAGGCCAGGGTGAAGTCAAATGACGCGATACGTCGTATGTGATGCTGGACCAGAAACATCCTTCTCCAAGTTCTGATTGACCTGGGCTTCCTCCCAGATTGGATCGTCCAAGTACGACCGAGAGGCGATGAGGCGTTAAAGAAAGAAGCTCCGGTGCAGTGACAGCTCTCGAAGCTCCAGCACGACAGGGTCGGCCATGCTCCGACAAAGGGACGTTTACTAGAAGTCACCGTGGATGAGTATGCATTCGCTTCTCTACAGTCCTCCATGATAGTGTTGTTGTCTCTCCTCTGAGCTTGCCGACATTTGAATTGACACCATGTTCCGCCAGATGCCGTCGTCATTTAACTGGTATCCCTAGTGGTTGGCAGTGGCTGTACCCGCCTTGTGTGGTTATATTTCCATCCTCCCGCTTTCCATCCACCAAACAACCATAGCGTTGTGAAATGCCAGCTCCCAGCCGCCCAAATGTCAACCCGTTTGTTTCGGACCTGCTCCATGGGACATACAGGGTTGCTTGTGGTTCTCGCACTTCTCTGTGGAACAGCGCTCATCACCGGGTAACAACAAAGGCCTGTTAAGCGCAATGTCAATCTCGAAGTCGGTATCGGTCTGACGCGTCAAACCTGGCACTTCCAAAGGCAAGCCAATAACGCGAATGTGGGAGGCTACCGTGCAGGCTTCGACACCTCTACTTGTCTCATCTTTGACATACAGTGCTGGAACTTAGGTACCAATGTAAGAGGAAGGTTGTCACCGGGACACTTGCTGCCCGTTACCTTTCTACGTATCTCCATAGCGCGTCAGGTGTCACACTGTTGCTGCCCCGCACATCCCAAGCAGGACTAGTGGAGCGGCAACTCCCGCCATCCGACTTGTGAGCACTCCTGAATTTTGATTGGATACGGCCAGACACGAATCACGACGCGGGCGAGCCACCAGGTGAAAATGACAGAATGACCTCGGGCTCAAGTCATGGGCTTCACAGTAGCCAGTGCGGTGTACCGAGAACTACAAATTCTTTTGCAAGCTGGAAGCAGGCCTCATATATTCGCCAGGGTTGTTTTTCCCCTATCCCGTAAGCTACGCTATGTCAGAGGGTACGGGGACGAGTACCACCCTGGGTCAGGGAGTCGCCCGATCAACAACATCTCTCCAGCAGGTCAAGGCTGGGGCAGCCTCGAACCCGCTCGGGACACCTCAACCGTCAAATGCGGCATTTTCAGCCTACAGATTGTCCAGAGCTACATAACGGAGAGCTGGAGAGACGATATCGTGAGAGAATGCTTTCCTGCCGACGACAGATAATCATCCTATCATTGTTGTTTGTAGTGTTGCGTGAAGTCGTACTCGATGCTGGAGTATTTCTGGAGAGGATATGGGTCAGTCCTGCCATAAAAGCTCTGATTGAAACAGCTTAGGGATGACGACGCGTCGTACGCGACGCCTACTCACCAACAAGAATGCCTTGGTTGCTTCGGCATCACCTTCCAACCCCTTGAGCAGCTGGAGGAAAGGATCGGTTTCCAACGCGGTGTCCGGGTCGGTGTTCATGATTCTGTTCAAGTTCTTCATCGACCTCGCGTCCACATATTTCAGGAACTTCTCACGGCGGATGTCGGCGTACAGGTCGAGGATGCTCTCGTCCGCCTTGCCCTCGTAGAAGCCGACCAGGCAATCCGCGAGACCGCCGATGTCCAAGACCGCCGTCATGCAACCATAGCCACCAAAGGGGTTGCAGACGTGTGCAGCATCAGCCGCCAGCAGGATCCGTCCGACCCTCATCTTCTCGACGCACCGGTTATGGATGCGGAATTGGTCGGTCTGTGTGATCTTGTACTGTCCTGGATCGGGATGGCCGGGGAGGAGTTTCTTGAAAGCCGTGTTTCGCCGTGCTAGGTACTCCTCATCTGTGAGACCCGTCGCCTTGTCTCCGTACGTGACGCGCCAGAGACCACCTTTGCCACGTTTCGCGATGAGCCCCCAATAGTCGCGGTCGATCATGTAGTTCCCACCATCCCAGCCGTGCTTTTCGAACCCGTCGTACCAGACCTGGAAGTCAAATCAGCCGTGCAGTCCACTATCGAAAGGAGCCCACCGGAAGAGAAACAGACATTTTGGACCAACAGGCGAAAATCAAACGTCTGGCCCGGCCATTCACGGCCAAACAATGATTTTCTGACCGTACTGGAACCTCCATCGCAACCCACGACGTAGTCGGCGCTGAATCGCTTCTTCTCCTTGACCTCCCCTTCGGCCCCAGCTTCGACGTCCACCCAAGCAGAGCTATCATCCTGGCCTGTGCCAACAACCTTGTGGTTGAATCTGATGTCGATCAGCCCGTTCCCCCTTTCCAGACAATGCTTGTACATGATCTTGATGATCTCGTTCAGGGGGAGAATCGTCATGCGATCCGGATGGTCTCTGACCACCGAGAGGTCAATGCCCGCCAGTCGTTGATGATCACTGACTCGGCGCCAGCAGATGCTGGGAAAACTGGTGATGCTCGCTTCCCGAAAGTCGTCCAAGAGTCCCGCTTTGCGGAATATCCTTGTCGCCGGCACGCCATACTGGGTCGCCCGCAGGCGTTCGTCCAGTCTGTCCCATGACTCCAGCACGAGAGAGGGGATGTTGTGTTGGGAGAGTAAAAGGGCGAGGAGCAGCCCGGCCGGACCGGCTCCGACGATGATGATCTGTGCATGTTGGTGAGCAAGAGCAAAGCGGGCGGCGAGCCTGAAGCAGATGCGGTGCGTTTAGGCCCCATCGACGCCAGGCCAGGCCAACTCACCTTCTCGAACGGCTTTCCTGGCTCAACCGACCCCATTCTCACCGGATTGAACGAACTTGCAAACTCAGAACGAATGAGCATCAAGTAGCAAGAGGTCTCTCGTCGTGATATAAGTATCTAAAGCTTCATACTGTTTCGTATACGCTGACATGGATGGCAACACGGAATGTTCCGTCTTACGTTGTGGTCAGAATGCGCGCAACGATGCCGCCAGAATGCTCAGGTGAGATGGCATGAAGACGGAAACAGTCCTCCAGAAGCGTATGTCTTCTCCTGGAGACAATAAATGTCCATTCGATGGCTCAATGGGGGTTTGCCCGAGTTGTTTGGACGACGACAACCTCGAAGTTTCGCACTGAAGTCGTCGGTTTCCCCACGATTGGCGCGAGGGACGTTGTGCTTACGTGGAGCGAATAAAGGACAGCGGGCACATCACAGTGCAGCGGAACGTTTTCCTCTTCCCATCGTTGACAGAGGTTGACGATTAAGTCAATGAAACCGGCATCTGGTCGATTAATTCCGAAAGCGAAGAACACTTTTGATGGTATCGAAGTCTCCTGGATACTCGTACATCAGTGCGAGCTACCTAGGTAGCGATAGAGACCTTCAGACGCCCAGTGGCATCCTCATGTCCCTGGGACCCAAACCACAGAACCGGACGCCAGGACGACATCTTCACACGTTTGCGCACAGTCGTTATGCGATGCCCTCCCACGATGCATCCCACCACACAGCTTCGTTACGGGTGGCAGACGCCCATCAAAGGGATCGTAAGAAGATCTGGGGATCTCTCGCCACAGCCGGCGCGTGATTGGATCTAGAAGCCATGGAAGAGTCTCAGAAGCCACCAACTCTAATCTGCATGCGGTTTAAGCGACGTGCCTTGTTTCACGCGCCGCGTCATTTGCAGGCTCAACGCCCCAACGGGCCAGTCAAAGCCTGGAGGGACCTGGACTCGGGGCCTTTTCGAGCACCTGACAGGCTCCAGAGGTGCGTCTTTCCAAGCATAGTAACAGCTGAGCAAGTACGGCGTACCCAGTAAGGTCTTTTTCGCCTGCGCCATCTTGACTCCGTATCACCTCTCTCTCACTTCACTTTCACTTTTCCAACACTTTCGCTATCCGAAAAAGCCATTGTAATCCTTCGACAGTCACTTCATTCTCACGCTCGCTGTCTCCATTTTCATTTGAGTTTTGTTTGCCACAGGTCACTTGGCGGTTGTGAGGCTCTTTCTTTGTCACATTCCAACCCAGCAGCCTGTGCAATCTGTCGCTCACCAGCATCTGACCCTCACGAACGTTGTTCCTTTGTACGACCAGGAGTGCCCCGCTTGTGTGCTACACCTTGTCTGCAGAGAACCCGTCTTCTCCTTCTACCGTACTGCGTGCACCAGGCCGTCGCGTCTTTGATTGACGCCTGCACACGCATCCAACCGATAGGACGCACCAAGCAACCACGATGGCAGGCCCAATCCTGCATTCCCTTCTCTTCCTCGCCGCGTTGGCTCCCTCAGTACTGGCGCAGGTTAAGTGTGGCGGAGGTGTAACATGCCCATCGGACACACCATGCTGTTCGCGTATGTCTACTCGGGAGGCTCTGAGATAGGAGAGAGAGACTGACAAGAGGACATCTAGAATACGGCCAATGTGGCGTTGGCGCCTACTGCCTCGGAGGATGCGATCCCGTCAATTCGTTCGGCCTCGATTCCTGCGTACCGGCACCCGTGTGCAAGTCCAAAACGTATGAATTCAGTAACCTCGACGGCATCGTTCCCAACACCAAGTACCTGGGTGACCCTACCACCGCCGACTGGGTTTCGTCCGGCAGCCCCTTGGAATACCAGGACTCTGTGCTCCTGACTATGGCCGAAGGGACGGTGGGAACATTATTGACCAGCACAAGACATGTCTGGTACGGCAAAGTCGGCGCCAGGTTCGCGACTTCTGCTGGTGCTGGTGTGGTCACGGCGTTTATTCTGCTCGGTAACTCCAAGGACGAAATAGATTTTGAGTTCGTTGGGGTCGAGCTGGAGAACGCGCAGACCAACTTCTACTCTCAGGGTGTGCCAGTTTGTAAGGGGAGCCGAATACTCCGAGGCGACGAATTGAAGCTGACATGTGGTCCTAGATACCAACGGCGGCAATACCACTGGCCTCTCTGACGTCCATGCCAATATGCACGATTATGAAATCGACTGGCAACCCGACTCGATCACCTGGTCTATCGATGGGAAGGTGGTCCGTACTCTTGACCGCGAAGACACCTGGAACGCGACCGCAAACCGCTATTACTACCCCCAGACACCGTGTCAAGTGCAGCTGTCACTCTGGCCTGGCGGTCTTCCCACCAACGGCGAAGGCACCATCGAGTGGGCGGGCGGCCTCGTGGAATGGGACTCACCGTACATGACTAACGGATATTACTTTGCCCAATTCGACTCTGTCTCGGTGGAATGCTACGATCCACCTTCTGGTGCGAATGTTCAAGGTAGCAAGTCTTACATCTTCACTGACCCGAGCATGACCAATCTCTCCGTCGAGGTCACCAATGACAACACCGTGTTGGAATCATTCCTCGGCACTGGCACAAACATGTCCGCCAACTACCCGAGTAACACCGCCAGCTCAAGCGGCTCTTCGAAGACCAGTGAGGTCGCAACGATTCCCGGTCTTTCTGGTGGCGGCACCGGTTCCAATGGCGACCGAGGCGACAACAGCTCGGGCTCCAGCAGCAGTGACTCTAACGGAGGCTCGGGCAGTGATTCAGGTGCAACCGCGAGCGCGTCAGGGGCTGCGTCCACGGGCTTCGTTCAGGGCGATGGCGGTGACGGCTCGTCAAACGGCGCCGGTTCAATCGGTGGCAACAGTGAGAGTCTGCTCAAGGGCAGCTTGTTTGCTGCGATTGTTGCTATTGTGGGACTTTGCATTATGTGATTCTGGCAAGCATGGGAATGCGATTTAATGGCAGAAGCTTTAATGAATGGTGATCATCAGTCGTGTTCAACACGGGGATTGTTTGAACTCGAGTTTGCTTGCATTGCGGCCGGTTGCGGGGCACGAGAACGAATCTTCCAGATTGTGTAAGATACAGCTAGACAAGCATTTGGTGTCTCTCGATGCTCATATTCAAGGACGTTTATCATTGTATTTCCCAAGCTGGATCTGAAGATCAGTGGCGGCCAAATGTTTCTCCATGTCCGATGGAGTATGAAGTCATGCGTGTGATCTCAGAGCGTCAGTGACTTTTTCGAATGCTCAATGCAATCACCCCTTCCTAACCTTTCAGTTGAAGCATACCTTAGACTCTGAATTTATATTGATACGAACGAGAGACGACCAATATCCAGGCAAGTCAAATCAGCGGCACCGGTGACACCAGAGTCGAGATACACCTCTGTGATCAACTAAACGGACACTCCATCACCGAATCCGTGCGCAGGAGACGAGCCTTCCTGTGACCTCTCCGAAGCTCTCTTCTCCGGTTAGGGTTTGCACTGATTCCTCTTGCAGCAGCCCAAAATTGTTTGAGAGAGAGGCATTACAAGGTCATATCCCCCAGCATGCGAGCTCCGTCCACAGACCTGCTGCGCGCGCTGCGTCGAGCTGCAGCGACGACATCCTCCCCTGTGGTGTACACGTCGCGGGCGGCCCAACTACGGTGTCATCAAGTGTCTCCATCTCAGCCACAAACTCATCTCCGTGCCCTCTCAACAAATCCTGCATACCATCAGCAATCTCCCGCCCGTCCACCATCCGTACCGCCGCCCACCTCGACCGCGCGATCGCTCAATATCCCGCCGCGCCCGACCGCGCCTCCTCCCAATCCTGCGCGTCCTGGCTCCCCTCGCATCAACCCCTACGCGCCCTCGAAGAGCAGGGACAGAGGGCCGGCCTCGAAAGAAGAGACGCAGACGGACTTTTCAAAGCTGGACATCTACGCCTCCGCGGGCGTCGAGGAGCCCGCAACGTCCATCGACGCCTGCACGCACGACGGCTTCCACCTGAACAATGGCGTCCAAACCTCCGGAGGCCGGGGCGTGATGCTCGTGGGAGGTGAGGGATTCGTGTGGAGTCCCTGGGCTGGCACGGGTGCCGGGGTCGGTGACGCGACAGTAGTCTCTTCGACACCACCCGCCTCGGGCAAGGAGCGACGGGCCCCCACGGCGTCGCAGTTCTCACAGTTCCTGAACGCTCGCTCTTCTGTCCTGGACTTCCCGCCCTCGGCCTTCGGGTTGCTCACCTTGCTGTACCCGAAGCCGGACTTGTTGATCTTCGGCACGGGTCGTCAATTACACATGCTGTCAAAGGACACGAGACGCTATCTGTCCGAGGAGCTGGGCATGAAGGTCGATGTGATGGATACGGCGAACGCGGCAGCCGCGTACAATTTGCTTGTCATGGAGCGGGGTGTTGAAGGGGTGGGCGCCATTTTGATCCCGGAGGGGTTCGTGTAGGGCGGTATGTAGGATAAGGAGAGACACAGAAAGGCAGGGTCGTTGCGAAGATGAGAGTGTCAACACCGGAGTTAAGCACGAGGAATGTTGTCGTCTGGGACTACATGCGCGACGACCCGTCAATGATACCAGTAAAGTACCCAGGCAGTGTGCTAGTATACTACTACTAGTACCCAAGAGCCACTAAAACTATGTTGTATGAACAACCCTCGCCTTTAGAAGATCCACATCTGCACCCGTCCTGTCTTTGAGGGCCTCTATCGTGAGCCTGGCGGCCCATCCGACTGGAATGCTTAACAGGTTATGTCAACAATAGGGCGACCGAGATTCAAGGTCTCCCATGTCCATATGTCCCATGTTCGTCGAAGTGTTCGCTATCCGTGTGGAAGATGGCGGTATGTACCAATACTAGTAGATCGGCCATGTACGAGTTACGTGCGTATTCTGAAGATTTGTGTCAAACTTAGACTGTCTAAACGACAGTGGGGAGCCTCCGCGTGAATGTACTTGAAATACTGAACTGTGTGGGTATATGCGTATCACTAGTGGTATGTATGTCCTAGGTATGTACCTCGTCGTTGCCGATCTAGGGCAGCACCAAATACCTCCTGTCCCGTATCCTGTATGACGTGTCCTGCGAATGTCGATGTCGATGTCGATGTCGATGTCGATGTAGACGGGTTGAATGCCCAATTCCCATCACAACCAGTCTAAACACTTAGTAGGTCATCGCCTATTTCATGGGCATACTTTCTTATTGTATCATGAACTTTTGCATAGCCTGGACAACGCCAGCGGCTGAGGTGAACCGCGTGGGTTTGAGTCGTTGGAAGAGCAACGTTGGGTTTTCGTCCTTGCAATATCGGCTCTTGCTGGTGCGGTGAGCTCGAGTCAGACACCGCAGACACACTGCACGGTGCCTTTGCAGCTGAAGGAGGGTCCCCTTCTCTTCATCCTTTCGTGGAAGTGGGACTTCGCCAAACGCTCTCCGAGTTGTCTCAGACATAGCCACCTCGAGAGATACGTCTAATTCCGTGGAAAGAGCACCAGGCCGTGCTGGTAGATCATCACGGTTTCGACCCCGTTCTGAGGGGGTCGCAGAGGTCGATGTACCGTATAGGGAGGTATCATCCAGAGCACTGTCATCGACATGGAGTCCAAGCCGTGGTCGCGGAAGCAAGCCAGAAGCCCCTACGCTCGCCGTGCGAGACGGTCAGAGCATGTTTGAGTGATCGGGTACCATCCACTGGTCCGTGAAGTGCTTGATATACCGGTTATCGTCTTGGACAGTATGCCGTGCATTGGGCGACAGTCCGTGGAGGGGGGCAGGACGACCGGTGGTGTCTAAGGTGGGGCAAGAGCATTGGTCTTCACCTTAAGGAGTACCCTTATTGCCCTTGTTGCTATACGACCCAATGATGTTGGTTGGGCTCCAGATCCCCGCTCGTCCTCGTGATCCCGCTCGGTGGCGACGCCCTTTCGATTCCATGGCAGACTGGAAATGGCAAATTTCAGTATCTGGGAGACTCCCTTGAGAACTCCGTTGACCCGGGTGAATCGGGGTCCTTTTAACACAGCCATCATGTCTCCGTAGATGGCATTGCGTCTGGTTACATTGAGGATAAGTTCACGCAGTAAGGTGTGGGAACGTCGACATACCACCTGTGGTGTAATGGTATTTCCGAGATGTCGGAATAACCGTTTCGATTTGGATAATAGTAGTCGTCCGAAGGGCTATCGTCTCTGTTAACAGATGGATAGGAATGGCTCGGACGTTGATACCAGAAATCGAAGTCATAGGTGGGCCGCTTCACTTGGGCTTCGAATTCTGGGCAATGAACTTCCGAATCCGAGAATTCAGGAGGCAGGAATGAGAGATCTTCATCCTCTGGAGGCGTAGCACCTCTTGACCTTAGATCCTGATCACCTCCCAGTGGTCCAGCGGAAGTGTGCTCTTCGTCAATGATCTCTCCGTCTTCGAAACATTTCAGGCGTCCATTCTGATCAAAAGATCGTCCCTTGGAGCCAGGGTCCAGCTGTCCGGTGGTGATATAGCGCATGACTTCTAGATGCATCTGGTACAGGAACGTTGATCAGATTCGAGCATGCCGGTCTCTTTCCCAGACCTGACTCCTCTGGGAAGTGGCAGTCCTGGGTAAGTTGCCGCTCGACTCCATGCACTGCTGTGTGTAGAACTCAAGATCTTCCTTAGCACACGCCGACCATTTGAGCAGGATCGGGTCGGTGAGGGGCAGAGACAGAGGATCTATGTCGAAGAGATGGGCGACATAGAGTAATGCGTACGTACTTGTGTCGCCAGGCTGTTCACTTAGATCGACTCAGATGTCCTGGACCGCAGCTCTCCGGTATACGTGGGGTGATATCGCGAACGGGCAGTCTTCTGGGTACAAGTAGTAGTCGCTTGCGATCCACGCACGAAGCCCCTCGCTTGACCTCTCATCTATGTCCCAGGTCTCATCATCCGAAAAGTCCAGTGTGTCGAGGCAAGACCAGCCATTGCCTGGATGGGGGGTTCCTTGCTTGACCACTTTTAGAGACTGCTCAAGAAGGAGGCGCAAAGGTTCAGACACCGCAGATTCCGCAAGTACTTTCTGGTCGATCTCGTCGTCAAACGAGGACAGTCGACATTGGAGCAAACGAGCATCCTAACTGAAAGGAAAATTGCGGTTTCCCGTGTGGCGGTATTGCACCTGGATTGCGTTGTTTAGGACCACGTCATCAATAAAGGTGCGCACCCATCCACAAGTGCACCACCAGCTCCTCAGTACAGCTTTGGTAATAGACCGGATATCCCAGATCGTCAACAGGATCTTGGTATTGGGCACCAGCGAGGATATGCCCAGATGGTTCAGAACGGATTGCAGCGCATGATTGAAGAATGCCAGCGCGAATTTTGCAAACCGTGTACACCCTTACCGTATCCATTTTTTCATCACTCCAAAAATATTTCTTTTGTGGAGTCTGCATGGGACTTCTTCACAGTGCCCTTCTCAGCAAGTCGTTGACGATGTCTTCGATAATGTTCGGCCGAGTATTGGGCCGCTGGCCTCTGGTTAAGCGGCTGTAGGGTCATACCGCCTCTGGGAAGATCTTTCTTTCCCAAACTCCTTCCGTCTACCGATAGTGTTGAATGATGCGAAGTAGTCGCTGGCAAGTAGGGGAAGAAGGTCGGAAGAGAAATTCCTCATGGAATGCAGAATAGTAAGAATCTCGGGCTCCGGTCGAGACATCAAAATTGGGTAGAGCCGCAGGAATGCACGAGGAGATGGGAGATGGGAACGTAGTTCGAGTCGAGTTTACGAACGCCCTCTCTCTGTGTGGCAGTGTCAGGAAATCCACAGGGACCGTCCCTCCAGGTCCTCGAGGCGCCATGGCCAGGGTGGTGCAGTCAAAGGCGCCCATCTTTTCGAAGAGTTGGATGGAGTCCGTTCTGTTTCTGAAAGTGGACTGTTTCTGGTCCCAAGTGATGGTGACTTCCTAAAGGGGAAGTCTTCGCTATATATACTACATCGCTATAATGCAGCGAGTGCAGCCATGCAGCGCCTAGACCTACCTAGATAGGAAACCTACCTATGTATATAGCTACAGCTAGAACCACCTATGTGGCACTATAGTTAACTTCGTTAATACTCTAACCCTTACCTTTGGACTAAGAGTGTTGTTCTACTATCACGCCGGTGCAAGTGACCGCGTGCCCGTCACCCTCAGCAGACATACAGTTGTTACTCCCTACAAGTAAACCTACTTGGACCGCATACCGCCTCACGTGGAGCGATTCATAACACATCCTTCCGTCTGCGTTATAACCTGCCATATTAGCTCTACCGCAACCGAATTTGGCGCCACGACTTCTTAAACTTCGCACGGATAGCCTCCGCTGGATATACCCCTAAGCGCCTATATTGCGCCCCATCCGCTTCAAAAATCTTACGGTTGGATTGTTTCACCCAGTCAAATGCGACCCTTTCCATTCCACTGCCAAAATCCGCAACAACCATGAGTCCGTAACCGAGTCTGTGCCTCTTTCCAGGGCAATGATAACCCATATGGATGGCGATACACGTCAGGTCCGGTGTTAATACTCTGGTTGTCGTCGGTTTGAAAACCCAATGTAAATAGGATCCGTCTGATAAGCGGGATCCATCTTGTGAATAGCAACCATCTTCCAGGTCTATTTTTGCTGTAAAATACTTATCATCATGGGAAGTATATCCGAGCAATTCTATCGTCGATGTCCAGGCCGAAATGTGAATGTAATTCGACAAGGCCAAGCTTCTGTTCAAGTCATTGTAAGAATCCTGAAACGAATCATAATCGATAATGCGGCCATCATTGAGTTCAAAATGAATATCGATGTTAGGGTCCGTCTGAAGTATTGCCATCGTAGCCACATCCCATTTGACTGGAGCCGTCCAGCCTGTCCAGGACCAACTAGGGAAACCGAGTCGTCTAGGTGACGGAAGAGTTCCTCTCCAACAAAGTCCCATAAGAAGGCCTAGGACAGGTTTCCAGGATGTTGTTTTAGATCTTTCGGGAGGCCGGCGCAACTTGCCGCTTGATTGAGGCAAGAAAGGTACGCCAAGACAATGGCGAATCTTGAAGGGGCCTTCTTCGAATGCTCTCAATATACCAAGCACCGCGTTGAGGATGTCTTGGGGGTTTGTGAGAGACTTGCACGAGTACTCTTCAATACGTTGGAGGACCTCCCATGGGCCTCGTCCAACTCCTCGAGGAAATATTCCGATGTTGCCGCCGGCACAAAAGTCTGCCTTGAGACGTTGTTGAGACCTAATGTGCATATCTCGGAGCGGCAAATCAAACGCCTCGCAGCAGAACATACCGTAACACTCATAATAGACCTGCTCGTCGGTAAATACCAGCCGTCGTCTGGACAAGATTCCTTCTTGGTATGTCCAAGCCCTTGTTGTCCACCAACAGTCATTGATCCAAGATTGTGGCTGGCTCAGCGAGGAGACCAAAGATTGATTTTTGATGCGTGAATGGTCATGCTTGGACCGATATCGTTTGCCCACCCCGGGTAAACCGTAGGTCACATCTCGACCTGCGGCGGCAATAATAGTCAGATCAGAGTTCCGGTAAATTGAGTCCATCTGGAGTAGCTGCGCTGTAACATCCTCCTTGTACTTCTGATCAATGCAGAACTGATCAACCCAGAGATACCGAAAACCTAATTTCCGTGTGACAGCAATGGAATCTTCGATCGTGGCCGGCAAGTCTTTGGGAATCGACGCACAGTTGCCAAAAGCTTTCATGTCTTCTCCACAAACATAGCTCAGGGCCACGTATGAATAATTCGCCGCCGGAACGATGTCGCCCGTCTCGCAGTCGATCAGCTTCATAAAAGGCACGAGCGAGGATGCCTTGGAGGCACAGCCGTCTTTGTGCATCTCACGGCAGAGGGCCAACCAATCCTTTATGATTTCAAAGTCGATATGACTCGGACTAAGTGTTCGCAACCAGGTAGAACCTTGATTTTGAGCAATTAGATATTTGTCGGCTCCAAGTATCCCTATCATGCCCGTGTCGATAGCTTTCAAGCCACTTGGGCGCGACCTGATGCTTGAATATGATAGGAGCATATGTCCACGATCGCTTTGTTGACGAGTTTCAGGAGGTAGAGTTGTAGCTAGTAAGCTACATAAAGGGCAGGAGTCGATAGCCCAGGTCGAGACCGGGCGTAATCTCTTCACAAGCAAACCCGCACATGTCTTATGCTGCCTCGACAAAACCCCATCAAGGTCAATCTTGGCGCATCTCTTGCAAAGTTGATCTTGTGGTGATGGAATGCTCCGTTTTGATCGTTTCAAACGTGGCAAATGATCGGTGACGGAAGAGTGTTCGGCACGAGCTGTGTGTTCTTCTTCCGTGGGTCGCAGTTTTCGTTTTCCCCGGAGCATCATGGACGCCATTTCGCAAAATCTAGACTTTTTGATTGAAGAAATGGTCGAATTATATCACATCATAGGTAAGTTCTGGAGTTGTGGAAATATACTCCGTACAAAGAGGCCATATTAATGAGCTTAAGGGAGCCATAGCTAGTAGTAAGGCACAGCCTCCTGATAGGCCTCCTCTAGGCAAGAGTCTTGGCTGACGAAAATCGCCGGGGCTCTTACGCGGCGAGCTTGCCGGCTTAGGTTACCTGCTCTTAGCATAGCCTGTGGCTGAGCCTCCAAGCACAAAAGACCTTTGGCTTGACCTCTAAACGTGCTCACAGTATTTCAGACGGAAAATAGTTATTCCGTGGTTCCTCCAGCGCGGTATCACGCGCATTAACGCGCACGGTAACGCGGGTGCACGTCGTTCATTCAGCTAATCTCCCCTAGTCATGTGACTGTGACCGGGCAGCTCCTGGATAGTCACGTGGCAGACGGCCAGCCTCACACGCAAGCTGCTCGCCCAACCAAATCCCGATGTTTCATGCGTTTGCGCGACTGATCTTGCTCTGTTCCGTCGTGGCTCATCTCCGCCCAAAGATGGGCTCTCTCTCTATTATGTTGACCCCGGGATAGTATCCTGCGTCTCTGTCCGCTCTCTCCCGTCGGCCTCCCCGCGGACCCAAGAGCACTGGTTCAGGTCGCGTCGGAAACGAGCTGAATGTGGTGATCTCTTCCCAGGGCAACCCTGTTGGTAGATGTCGCGATGGTATCCGTCGTCTAGGGCCGGATTCGAAGAGGTAGTCGTCACCGCCGCAGCCGCCACCGCCGCAGGGTGTGCAGCACACGATGAGCAGGAGGATAAGGACGCATCCCACAACTGTTACTGGCACCCAGATCTTGGCCCCGTCGTCGTCGCCCATTGTACAAATTAAGTGGCGCTTGGTCTTCGCTACGATTCAGCTGTAATGTGAGTGGAGGAGGTGTACGATGCTCTGAGACCCTGCAAGACGCGTGCTGGGATGTTGTAGGGAGATATCTTATGGGAAGATGAATTTCATCTTTCCTGGACGCAACGATTGGGCTTTATGCTTTTTTTCTCCAGCTTTCGTCAGCAAACGAACGGGGCATCCAAAACAGCTCATCTGTTTGTGCACATCAAACGACTTCTCTTGATCGGCGTTGTTACTACTGTTCCCCACTGCTTCGAAGACCGCGTGTCGAAGCATGGTGATCCCCTTGGACCGGGAATGATTCAGGATCCAAGGTTAGCCTGAGGCAGTACAAGTCTAACTATGCTGGCAGAAACCCGACAAAAGGTCCCCAATTAAACCAGCAGTTCTTTAGACTGTCCGTCCATGATGCAACGGCGACACGACTACAATATCTGATGGCTTCAAGCGCCACGCGTGGGCTCTAGCAGGGCTCATTGGGATTGAGATCGACCAAATGGCGGCCACACAGACAGGGCGCGTCTTGCCAGGCCATCCACATGGTCTGGGTCAAGTTCGGCGATGCCACTGCACATTTCGTCGAGAGGAACGTGTCTCCGGCTGTGGTATTTCAGTGATGGCAGCCTAACCTGGAGGTGTGTACTTCTGTGCCTTGCGGTGAAACGTTTGCTGGGAACCATCTCTCCTTAAGCGCAGGATCTCTCCAATCAGTCATAAGAATGCTTTACTCATACCATCCAGCGAAGAACTTGTCCATGGCTCATCTGGCTTGAGAAGCGCTCCCAGATCCGGGCGCGAGGTTAAGGACCGCCCCAGTAGCTCACGAGGAGCAGTCTAGGCATCACGAGATACAGCACATGATTTCGTATCGTTGATGTCCCTATCTGCTGTACAAGCACAGCGTCGTGGTCACAAACCACTGAGATAAGGTCGTGGCTTGGTAATTCCCCTCTTCTAGCCCCGATCCAAAAGCCGAAGAGTCGACTGTGTGGACGGAAAGATCCAAAACTCCAGCTCAACTCCCCGGATGAGCTTTCTTTGCGCCATTCCACCCACATCCAAACGCCACCAAGCCGGCCTGAATGCCTCCAGCTCAATGCCCACCACTTTATGCCCTGTCCCATGCTCTGATCGGGACGAAGCCCCTACCACGAGCCTGGACTCCACAAGTAACAAAACAAGAAGCTCGAGAGCACAATTCGGTAGTTCCTTTCATGTCATGTTCATCCTGGGTCAACGCCAAACAGCCTTACCCGCAGGCATTAGACTCCCCCTTGACACGGTCTGCGACGGACCCTGGTTAATGCTCGACAACCTAACTCCTCCGCCCGCGGCTCGTTCACCGTTTCCATTTGGTGTCCCTCTGACGTCCGTGCCACTCATGGTCGTTCTCCTCAATGGATTCGCCGACGCACTTAGCCCTCTTCCATGACTGACGATGCCCTGGACACGCGGACTAAGCACGCCTACCTTCCACTCCCGATCATTCTCCTTCAGCAGTCCACTATCACTCTTGCCGGCGTGGACCATTCTCCTAACATGGCCGGCCGCGAACATACCCTCTGAAGGTGGAGAACCGGCGAGTGCCGCTGTTGCGGCTGTGGGTGATCGACGACGCTGGGTCCGTGAGGCGTGGACACCCGAGCGGCGCAAGGATGATGAGCGTCTGACTGCATTGCGGATCACAAGAGCCTCCTCTTTGTTCGCCCCAGCCGCATGGTTCTCGGTGTCAGAGTTGGTGCCAGAGGAGATATTACCTCCGTCGACAGAGGAATCGAATGTCGCAGCACCCTTGTTTTGAGGGATCAGTGAGCCGCGGTTCGAGGCTTTCCCTGCGTCGAGCTCTCTTAGCGGGGACAAGTCGCTGTCGGAGGATGATAGCGGTGTCATCTTGGGGGGGAGTAGGTTTGAAGACAATGGTGACCCGTCATATTTCTTGGACAGAAAGCCTGCCTGGAAGCGACCGCCTTTGTGTTGCACGTTGAGGGTAGCCTCGGGCGGAAGAGGAATGGGAGACGAGTCAGGCGATTGCGTCGCGAGAGCCGAGAGGGACGATGTAAGGTCCGAGATCTGAGGAAGAGTGATCTCCGAGGCTGACTCGTCTGCTGAAGGAAACTTTTGGGGCGTCTTCTCAAACTCGGCCAGTGTCCCGTCTTCAGTGTCATCTCGCCATCTTACTGCTCGTTTCGCACTCTTCGCAGGGGTTTTCCGTTTCTTGGGTGTGAAGGATACCTGGATACCTTTCTTTGCACTTCCTAGCAACCCTCTACGCCTAGGGGAAGGTCGAGCCGGAGAAAGCGTGAGATGAGGCGCCACGGCGGCGGTGACAGTAGGTCTCGCTCGCGTTGGACTCCCTTCCAAAAAGGACATGCCCGTATTCTGTTTCCGCCGCTTGGGTGTACCTGTCTTGGAAGGAGCAAATACTTCCACAGGAGCCAGACTGCCGTCGGGCTTGACGACATAAGATGCTGCGCTCGAAGCTGAGGACAACATCTTCCCAAGTATTTGTGTGGCAGCTTCAACCGCGTCGTCGACGCTCATATTGTTCAACCTCTCTATAGCAGAAATGGTCTCAAAGTGCGCCCGTAGCAGAATCTGAATGGTGCCTGCATCTCCGTTCTTGTCTTGCTCAGCCACAGCTGCGAATGCTTCTCTTTCAGCTTTTGACTTGAGCAATTCAACCTCACGTCGAAGCATCTCAGCGTCGATCATATCGCCCGTATCGACTTCGTTGAGTTGCTTCAAGCTATGCTCTAAGGCGGTGTTCATGGACCGATCCCAGCTGCTCTTAGACACCTTTTGATGGCAGTGATGTCGACCGCTCTCGAGCTCGATCATGATCCCGTGGGCGGTCTTCTTCACTCCCTGCATGTTTGGCATTGGTTCTTCATTTTCGAGAATGTCACAGACAGCGTCAAATGCGGTAATCCAAGAGTTCAGCATGGCGATCCGACGCCCGAGTTGCTTGAGCTTGATCATGTTACTGATGCGTTCTTGTCGCTCTGTTGCAGAGTTTTCGTATGCTGCTCTGATCCTCTGCACTCCTTCCCGGGCAATGTTCTCCTTTTTCTCATTCTGCTTCTTGAATTTGGTGAAGGCGAATGTTTCAGCTTCCTTCAGTTGGGCCTTCAGCTCGTTGATCTGTGCCATTTGTTCGTCAATCTTGACCAGGTAATCCTTGACGTGACGATTGATATTGTACACGTTTCGGGTGACTTTCGTCTGGATGTTCTTTGCTCGATTTGCGTATCTGAGGGTGTTCTGTGTCTCATCGAAGTGTGCACTAGAAGGACTGACACAGACAATCATCACTGTCTTGCAGTTACCACCAAGAGAGAATTTCAGGAGACGGGTGAGCTTGGAGTTACGATAGGGAACATGGTTGCGTTTACGCGGATCGCAAAGCGCATTGATGCAGCTGCCCAGTGCCAGGAGGGATTTGTTGATGTTGGCGCCCTCCAGCAGCCTTTCACCCCGGTTCTTGGTAGCACTTGCTCGTTCGCTACCTGCAAGGTCGATTATACTCAAGGTAGCCATGGTGTGAGGTTCGTCAACACCAGCATTTCTGTCTTTCTGTGCGACATTGATTTGGAGGACAGCGTGTGATCGCGAGGAAGTGGCGTTGGCTTCCGTGGGCGACATCGTTCGCATCTCGTTTCCTCGCACAATCATCTCCATGACCTCTTCAACATTCTGTGGGTGGTGGCTGGAAAGACCGGCAACCGAAACGGCTTGATTGGAATCTTCTCTTAA